AGTTCAATTGGCGGTCTGATGACATTATCCTTTGCGCGAATCGTCAGTTTACGCAGTCGAGTGAATCTCCTGCAAAACAATATTGTCGCCTTTATCCCAGCACTGACAGAGTTTTTCACTGGTATCATTGACATGATTCCAGAGTGACACTCTTGGTTTCTTATGTTCTTTTTGATATTTTTCGGTTCACTTATCGGACAAACATTTAGCGTTCACCGTCTATCATCTTTTAGAGACTTCACCGAGACACCTTCGCTGTTGATTTGTAGAATTTGAACCTCCCTGGCTGTAACAGCAGTCATCGACTTTCAAAGTGACTAAAAGTTAGTCAGTAGCTTCAAACAATGAAATCACGACTTCTCTTCACATTTATACCTCTATACTTACGGTTAGCCTGTTAAATATGGATATAACTAGAATTTGACACTTATAACCAGAAGCTGTCAGTGACATTGTCTGACTTTATACTTTAAACCAATGGCAGTATAAATATCGGAGTCGACTGATAATACACTTATCCCACTATCACTATATCATCATTACTCTTGCGGCAAACATAACGTTTCTCATCCGAGGAACTCAATTACTTGGCAAAGCTATCTATTTCTGTGTGACTTGATACAAGAATAAAACGTTATATTTTTTCTATTATTTCTATGGTTAATCCTTTTACATTCAACCACCGCCCTACTAACATATTATTACTCGTTGTTTCCTGACAATACGCGGAGGATTCATATCAATTGTTTGGCAGTCTGCGGCGCGCGACTACTCCCAACATGTTTGGTATTGATTCAAACGGCCGTTGAATCTAGTGAGGGAGTATTGTAGGGCCAGTGAAATTTCACTAAGCCCTAGCCAAATCATCCGGCAGTTGGGTCACTGAATATCAAACCGATCACCAGTCCCCGTCAGGGTCAAAGACGACCAATGCGCATCAGTTAATCGTTTGCCATTGAGGTTGTTCTTCTATGCTGGCTACCCTTTAGATTCATATTCCCAACTAATGCTGGCTTCGCAACTCCGCTGAGATAATAATAACTCAAGCATGTACACTATGGCTGAAGGGTTTGGATTTGATGAAAAAGGAATGGCCAAGCATAATAACAGATAACAAACGATGAATTTGTTGGTTTCTATTCTCTGTTAACATGCTTTCGATTGACAGCCCCCCTGATCCTAACTTCCACTTTCCTTCCTTTGTTCCAACGTTTTCTAACTTATTACACGTCACAATTCATCGTTCTTTATTGCCGTATAATTTTATCCAATGACTTTTTATCTACAATTCATTCTATATGTAGCAGGTAATGTGAGTTTAATGTGCTGGCACATCACGACTTTGTTTCACTGGAAACAGTTAAACGTTGTTGAGGGTCTGTATTCAGTTACTTCGTTGCTCTTTTTACCACCATGTTTTCAGCCCTAGAGCTTCTCTCGTATTTGGACTAGACATCTAACGTGCTTGTTTATAAAAGTTATGGCTTACACAAAACATCCTTTTATCGCTCTTTACCTGGAAATAGGTGTCGTAAATTTTACGCGATCAGACATCACGATTAAACATTGCTACACTCCTAAAGATCACATGTGTAGATGACAGAATAAATAGGAAATCGAAATAATCCGTATGTCCAAAGGTTAGCATAACTCGTGTATGTGATAGAAGCTGTTACACTTTCGGATACTTTTATTAACAAATGCTTTGACCTTTGTTCCTTGCTTATGTAGAACCTCATTAAGAATACTGAAAATCAGTGGCTTGTTTATGTCTTCTTAAAAATTCTGATTCATTTAGGCTTGTTCAACGCGCGTCTGCTTAGTTAATGACAGGTCTATCCGATGACTCCTTCAATGAAGAAGTTAAAGATTTGGGTCCTCCACGCTTATCTCTTCGAAGGACGCGAGGTGATCTTACACTGCTACTGATTACCTTCCAAAATAACTTGGAAATTTACACAACTTGCTTTTGCCCTGTATAAAGTCAATAATCTCTGAGGCCATTAGGAAATTTTTGAAGGTCAAAACCTATTAAATACGGGGTCGAATCCATTTTACTTCTCATCAACTAGTCAACTTCCTCAACGATCTAACCGAATAACTGGTATCAACGCATGAATAAGTGCTTTCTCGGAAAAACTGGACCTTTTATCAAAAGCATGCCTCAAGAACTTATACAGATCCAATGATCTGCAGTATTTATTACTAAAGACTATAACTACAACACAATTTTATTCTTGATAGGTGTTTGACTTATGAAAGAAATCTCTTTGAATATGTAGAAGGCTAAAGTCCTTTTTTAACATTTCAGGAATACAAAACACACATAAACTTATCGCACTCTGTACCAGTGAGTATAAAGTAGGGTTGAATACTCTTCATAAGTAACCAGCAGGAAGTTCAGTCACCGCGATGTTCAACAGTTACATGGAAAAATACATAAATATTTCTCTCAGCAAGCTTCTCAATGAATTATTTAAGGGTTCGGTTATAGCAAAATTAGCAAACGTAAGAGGAGCTTTAGTAAATTAGCATGGGATAGTGTTCATTGATTACAAAATAGCAAGTTTACTCTTAAGCAACTCGTCAGAAATAAGTGAAACCAATCCATAAAGGCTTCATTACCCCCAATGCATAAAAGCTTTTTTAAGGACTTTCGTTGTAATGCTAACTTGTAGTATTCTCTTTAAGACTTCTTTTAATAGTCAGTCAGTCAGTCAGCTGCAACGTAGGACCAGGCACGTATATGCATCGGTCCAAGTTGCCATACCGCATTAGCACAACAAGATGAACACCGGATTCATAGTAGTTAATTGCAGTGGTGGTAATATATAGAAGAAAGATTGTGTATAAGGAGATAGTACAGGAAGAAAGAATTAGTTCCTAGAAAGAAAGATTTGAAGTGATTTTAATCTCTTAATTTAAGGAAGACAGAGAGTGTATACACCGACGCCATTGTGATCGATTCTGAGCCATGTCACCAAGAGTCTCCAACCATTGGTTACGATAGTCACGCGGACCCCAACCAGGCAGTCTACATCTACCAACATGGCTCAGACCAGAAGTTAGTGACTTCAAGCACTGATGCCACGTTTTGGTTTGGCCGCCCCTAACTTTCTTCCAATCATCCCTAACACCGGTTAGCATTGCGCGCCGTGGTAATCGGTGTTCAGGCATACGCAGCACGTGGCCCAACCATCTCAGTCGATGAAGGTTCATAACCTCATCAACTGATTTACCATCATTCCCTAATACCCTGCGTCTAACCTCACTATTACTTACCCGGTGGTCCCAGCAGATGCGAGCAATACTTCTAGGGCACATGTGGTCAAATACTAGCAACTTACGAATATCTTCTACTCTTAATGGCCATGTTTCGCAGCCGTATAGTAGAATGGAACGGACTGCCGCGCAGTATACTCGTCCCTTAATTGATAGACGGATATCTCGTCTTCGCCATAGATGACGTAAGTTGGCAAAGGCCAAATGAGCTTTTCGAATCCGTGCTGAGATTTCGTCAGACACCAACCCATTAGGGCTGGTCAGACTTCCAAGATAAGTGAAGTTGTCAACTCATTGGACTACTTCACGCCCTATCCTTAGTTCAGGTGTTGACGCAGACCAGTCCTGAAGCAACAACTTGCATTTAGAGGGAGAAAAGCGCATCCCAAACATTCTAGCATTGTTGCTCAGTGGTACCAAAAGACTGCATTTCATCAGCGTCTTCACCAAACAGGACTATGTCATTTGCGTATTCTAAGTCAATAAGTGGACCTCCTGGTAGGAGATCGACGCCCCAGAATTCAGTCGATGAGAGCGTTATTTCCATCAGTAGGTCTATGATGAAGTTAAACAAAAATGGAGAAAATGGACAGCCTTGACGGACACCACTTGAGGTTGCAAAAGCAGATGACAGTTCGCCATAAGCTCTGACTCGACTAGTAGTGTTCGAGTAAAGAGCTTTCACAAGGTTTATGTACTTCTAAGGTACGCCTTTCAATGACAGACACTGTCACAGAACCTCTCGGTCAACAGAGTCAAACGCTGCTTTTAAGTCAAGGAAGACCACTATTGTCGGACGCCGATAAGTATGCCTGTGTTCTAGAACCTGACGAATGGTGAATATGTGGTCGATGCAGCCACGACCAGGTCTGAAGCCAGCCTGATTTTCACGTGTTTGCAGCTCACGAGTCTTAGTTAGGCGTCCGAAAATTATCGAAGCTAGTATTTTAGATATTATATTAGTTAAACTAATCCCTCTGTGGTTGTCATAGGATGATTTTGACCCTTTCTTAAATATTGGGACGATAAGTGATTGTGAGCAGTTAGATGGGATGATGTCTAACTCCCAGATATTAACTAAAATATTAGTCAACCTAATCGCTAAAACTAGACCACCATCCTTAAAGACCTCTGTAACCAATCCATCTGGACCAGCTGCCCTTCCTCGTTTCAGATTAGCTATAGCCTTTTGAACTTCAGCTAGAGTTGGGGGACCTACTTCAATGTTCCATTCATACTGTCCGGGAATAGAGGGTAGTTGTAGAGTAGCTGGAGACCAACTGAACTGCTCCTTAAAGTGTTCCACCCATCGTTCTAAACGTCTGGACTGGGAGCAGATGAAAGTGTCGTCTTTTTCCGAATTAGTCTGACTTACACTTGATTTATTAATTCCAGTTTCTTTTATTAGTCTGTAGAGTTGTCTTGTGTTCCCTATAGCCGCCGCCTTTTCCATCTCTTTTGCTTTCGTTGCCCACCACTGCTCACGACCGTTCCTTAGAATTTTGCTTAACCTAGATCTGATTTCTTTACGCTCTTCATCGTGTTCAGAACCTGATGGGATGAGTTTACGAGAATCTATCAGTGCAATAGACCTTGAAGAAATCCACTGGTTCTTTGTAACACTGTGGTTTAAATCACTAGTAGATGTCACTGCTGTTTCCACAGCTGCTTGTATAACTTTCCAAGCAACATCGGGGTCAATTAAATGAAGTCAAATTAAAAAGTTAATCAAGTATATTTTCCTCTATAAGTAAAAAGATTCATAATACATAATGCATAAATAGAAAAAATCTGTAATAAAAACTAAACAATTAATTCACTAAGGCAACTTTTTCATCATCCATTCAACTCATCTGTTTCAAAAACATTCATTTAAAACAAAATAAAACAGTCAATTTACATTGATCAGAATTTAAATAAACTATTTAGTTCATACGAGAGAGAGACTATGAAGTTTAATTTACTCATAACAATAAAACTCGTAACAATATCAAAAAAGAAACAAACCCAATCATATTTAACTCAGATAACAATTAAATTTGATAGCATGACCATAATGTATAAAACAATCACTGAGATTTCATGAAAATCATTCATTAACCAAGTAATATATATATATTTAAAACACTATTAATCGAATTCCATGTAACAGGGTTTCGGTTAAACAAAATAATATTGGTCAATAATCAATGTATAAATGAAATGAGTTCAAAATATAAACGAAATGTAGTTTTAGGAATAATCATTCTAAAAATAATTGCACATCACCAACTGGATGAATTTAATTTTTTGTTTTTTTAAAAAAAAGAAAAGCTTATCATTTAAAAGATCATAACAAACATATAAATTTTTTATAACAAACATTTTTGTAGTAAAAACAAATTATCCTAAAAATAAAAACAAACAAATAAACAGAAAAGTGTATCGTTTATACAAATCAAACTATAAGAAACAATAGTGTAGAAAGAAAAAAAAGTATTAATTGTAATCGTCTATTGTTCTTTATCAATCTACCTCCTCACTTTAATTGGAACAGAATCTCGGATTGCTATTATTTTCTGAATTACATTTTAGAGATTCTTTTACAATAACTGGCTCTACTCTCCAAATATCACGTGCATATTCACGTACTGTACGATCAGAGGAAAATTTTCCAGCTGCAGCTATATTCATTAGAACCATTTTTGACCATTTTACTTCATCCTAACAAATAACAAAACCCAACAACAAATCAATATAAATAATGTAATAGATTTATTTTTCAAAATAAAAATTATTTTATTTTATTAATTTTCAATTAAATATTAATTAAAAGAAATTACTACAACTATTTAATATAATTTAATCTCTGTATGATTGGATTTGAATAAATTGTTTGTTTTTTCCATTTGAACCTGTAACATTAAATGTATGGTTAAGAGTCCCCTCAAAGAACAAAACTAATTGTTTATAAATAAATCTGTTACAACGCTTTTTCATATATTGCATACATTGAATTATAATTGTTATATATTTTACGTTTGAAAACACACTCAACGTACTGAAGTGGTTCATTCAACTAAAAACTACATTTGCAAATATAAAAGATGAATCAAGTTCTATGCATGGAGCATGTTATTAAAACAAAACAGAATTAAAGAAATTAATTAGTTGATAGGTATCAAAAATCAAGGTCACACTTGATAGTTTTAAATAGATTAAGCATTGGGATATCATAAAGATTATTATTATTATCATTATTAAGGAAAATGATTGTAATGTATAATAAGGAGAGAATTTAAATTATTCCTACCTTGTATGCTGATTCAACTTCAGCTTGAGCACGCATATAATCGCCATAATCTGCACATACCATAAATTTATCTTCTGTAACTAGTTTATTATATAGATCTTTAAATAAATCAGGCTCATTGGGACAGTAAAAACCATCACGTATTTGATCTAAGCACAAACGAAGTTCTGGATTGGAAGATATATATCTCATTGGATTATATCTAATAAAGTGTCGAGAAAAACGCAAACAGGCTAATATTACAATAAAAATCTAAGATGATAATATTTTGTGGTTAAAGGACTAGAACAACTTAAAACAGATAAGTTGCGTCAGAATATAATGCGACGTTAACTTGAGAATGAGCAATAAATGATTTGAAGAAACTAATAATAAAAAAACAGTGGTCTATAGCAAAATACAGAGACTGTAATGAATATTGTCCAACACTGAATTAAACAAACAACATTTGAGTCGTAAATAATTATCTATACAACAAGATTATGTATATAGAAAATACAGTTAAGGCTGAAGTCTAAAAAGTAGTCTTATTCAGAGTTAATTGTAAGTACTGAAGTAAGATATCAGATTGTGCTTAATGAGTTGTCTGCTCACTTTTATTCTTGTTCGTTATTTCTATCAGATAACCACACTTACAGCTTCTAACTACCCGGGCACATAATATACCTGCAGAGTAGACACAAATCTACCAAAAGACGAACGTTAACAGATTTTTATTTTTAACTCAAGATCAACAGTCAATAAAGAATTGTTTCACCACACATAGATAGTGTGTATATGTGAAAAAATTCAGGTCAATGCAAGACCTGAGAACCAGAAGAGCAGCTGATATAACTTCACCATTAACTGGTGGTTGTCAAGATAAGACTGAAACTAAAGAGACACTGGAGGAACAGAATTACAAATGAACAACACAGCATTCCTTCGAAATACTGACCAACTCGACGAATTCAAGGTAACTCTCAACAACAGTGCTATGTTTGAAGAGATTATGAGCCCACATAATCTGTGAACGGAACGAAGATTCAGTGACACAATGACCAAATAAGCTAACCATTCCGGTGCGTCCAAGCCCTGCTAAGTAGAGAGGTTCAGAAGACGGAAATACATTCCACAAATATCCAAAAGCACGAACAACAACCACAAGCACAATTCAAGCGTATAAATACAGCATAAAAATGTCCTTCGGGAACGTTAAAAAATAGCATATTAAACGAGATAACGAACCGATGATATTTAAGATCCTCCCAAGTGGGAAATACGACATGAAGGTGAAAATGGGCGCTTTTGGTGCGAAAACAAAAAAATTCAAATTTCCAAGATAAATTTGCAAAAACAAGACATTTACCGAGTGAGTTCTGTGGATCTAACATTCCCTACAAACAAGTTCCATGCCTTACAAGACTTACTTAAAGAGGAAACTATTATGGAGGACAAGTAGAAGGGGATCAATGAAGCATTAACTTCAACGTGTCAGCAGGTTCTGGGACGGAACAAGCATCATCATTAGAAATGGATCCCTATCGAAACTGGACAATATTCAAGAAACGGAGAACAAGAAGACAGCAATTAACAACGGTCAAACAAGAACAGAGCAAGTCAAGGTACAAGCTGAATACGCTGAAGCAAACAAGAGGGTCAAGAGGAGCATTAGAGCTGACAAGAATTAATACGTGGAAAACTTGGCAGCGACATCGGAAAATGATGCAAAACAAAAAAATATCAAACAACTATATGAAATAACGAAGAAGCTGACAAGAAAATATAGTAAATCAGAGAAAACAGTCAGCGACAAAGAAGGCAAGACAATCACTGAGATCCACGAACAGAGGGACAGACAGGAAGAACAATTTGAGGAGCTATTCAACAGGCCAATCAGCGGGACATCGAAGCAGCTCATACAGACATTCCTATAGCTGTCAATCCACCAACGATCGAAGAAATCAGGTTGGCTATTAGACACACCAAGTATGGGAAAGCAGCAGCACCTGAAAACAAACCATCTGAAGAACTCAAGTCAGACATAGAAACAACTGCAAACATACTCCATACTCTATTCTGGAAGATTTATGAGGAAGAACAAGTTCCACCGACAGACTGGAAAAAGGACACCTCATCAAGATTTCAAAGAAAGGGGATCTGAGCAAATGTGAGAACTACACACGTATCACACTACTATCAGTACCAGGAAAGGGTTTCAACAATGTGGCTTAACGGGATAAAACATCCAGTAGACGCTTAGCTTCAAGACCAATCGATTGAATTCGGTAACGATCGGTCGTGCATAGACCAAATGGCGACACTACAGATTATCGTTGAGCAGTCAACTAAATGGAATTCGTCACCATACATCTACTTCCTTGATTATGAGAAGACGTTTGACAGTGTGCATGAGAGAACTACATGTAACCTTCTTCGACACTATGGAAAGAGTACCTGAAATCGTCAACATCATCAGGAATTCATACGACGGACTACAGTGTAAAGTGGTGCATGGAGGATAGCTGACACTTATTCCAAATGAGGACCGGTGTCAGATAAGACTGCTTACTGTATCTCCCCCTTTCTCTCTCTTTTGAAGGTTGACTAGATTATGGAAACCTCCACATCTCAGATGATGCGCCGTATACAATGGACAGCTTGCGTGCAACCAGACGATTTGGACTTCACGGATCACCTAGCTCTTCCATCTCTTACATACGAAAAACTGTATATCAAGTAAACCAGAGAAGCAGCAACAGCCTCTGAATCAGTAGGCTTTGACATACACAAGGGAAAAAGCAACATCCTCAAACAACAACCCAATCACACTTGATGTAGAAACTCCGGATCAGGTGGAAACTTTCACGTACATGGACAGCAGCATCATCATTGAGGATTGGATGAAAACGTAGAGGCAAGGATTGGCAAAGTAAAGGCAGCATTCCTACAGTTGAACAACATGTGGAACTCAAAACAACTGTCAGTCAACATCAAAGTCGCAATCTCCAATGCGAACATCAAGACAGTTCTACTGTACGGAGCTGAAACGCGGAGAACTACTACAACCATCATCAAAATGGTACATGTATTTCCAAACAATTGTCTACGTAAGATGCTGAATGTCCGTTGGTCGGATGTCATCAGCAACAACCTACTATGGGAGAGAACAAACCAGCTTCCAACTGAATAGGAAATTAGGAAAAGACGATGGAAGTGGATAGGAAGCACATTTCGATAATTATCAGTGCATCACGAGGAAATCTCCAACTTGGAACCTGAAGGAAAACGGAAAAGAAGACCAGAGAATGGTGTTAGAAATTGGAAGCAGATATTAAAAGAATGAATAGCAACTGGAAAGAATTGTCCAGAACAAGGTTGGATTGAGAATGCTGGTGGTTGGCCTATTTTACTTCACGATGGATATCTGGCGTACGTAAGTAATATGTGAGCTGCATAAGGTTAGAAAATCTAGTCTTGATTTTAAGTGATATTTAACAATTATTTTCGATTCAATAGTTTTTGATTATCACCAATCATCATATGCTTACACTTTAAGCCATGAGTATAATGATAGATTACACTTGACTAATGATTCAACAGATAGTATTTCATGAGACTTCCGAAAATGGAGAAATGCATTTTGTGTTTGTAATCCAATTAATCAGATAATAAAAACTGTAAGAATTAAGAGTATAATTAAAAACGAATCATCATATACTATTACAGTTCAAATCACAAACTGATCTAAGCTAGACCCTCACTGAAAACTTAAAAGCGCTGGACGAACACATTGTCCTAGTACGGAACTTCTCAATATTGCACATCTACAACACCAAATCTAAGGATCGAAAAAGGGACCCACAGTCTATAGTGTGAACTTCCAACCTCTCGACTACTGAACCAGCATTCAACAGTGTTAATGTCTAACTTCAATCGATCCACGATATGGAGTAATCCTCATCCATTTCCTGAGGTAGTAAATTTGTCACATAAAAGTGGGTTGAATTCTACTGGTTACAGCTTCTCACAAGCACTCCAGAAATCACATCTTGAAACTAGTCATTTCGGGATTCAAACTGTGACAATTCTACAATCTCCACAAATCCCCCATACTTTTTATATTAAACAGATTTTCATATAAACTAGGAAATAATAATTTTCAGTTATTATGAAACTGTTGGACGGAAATGTATTTCTTCATAGTTCTATAATCTTAAATTTGACTTACAAATTGTACTGAATGGGAAATATTTTAATTTTAAAATTATTCTACCAACACAAGGCGTCTTGGAAATTCATACGTGTGATTTCCAGTGAGCGATTATAACTTATAATCGTGATCAACAACTAAAAAGTATTGAGCGTCATGGCTCGAAATCCGTCCTGTGAATGCATTAATTATTTAAATAACCCAAGATCCTGAGTTTCAATATTGCTTAGTATTTATTATTCCCACATTTTATAACTTCCTATCAAACAATATTCTTCATTTCTAAACTTTTTTTATCACACTGATGCTAGTGAAACATCTATCACTTTGAGATGTAGCCTGTTAATTTCATCTTATTATCCTGATTTCTTAATAGTTAACAGTGATCTTAGTTATGAAGCTCAGTCTTTTTAACGACTGAATTTTTAAGTTAATTTGACTGAGATCATGAATCGACTGATGTTAGACCACCGTTGGAAACCTGGAAGCACTGGACGGCCGTTTTGTCCTAGTATGGGACACCTCAGCGATAATGATTAGAAACTGGAGCTTCGTGTACGAAAGGGTAAGTTTAAGTGGAGTTTTGTTCTCTGAGCTTGATGGTTATGTCGCAGAGCTTTCACTGTTATTCTGAACAACATCATCAGCATTGACATCAGGTAGAAATGAGGTTGTAAAGGCTAATTTCCTTTATAACTGACTCCAATAAACAGTATCCCGTTAACTGAGTATTTACACAGGCTAAATCTTCTAGTAGTATTATGAATTTACTTAAGATTATTCAAAAGCCTGAACACCCGTTGTAGAGATAGTTTATTGTTAATTGTTAGTAAAAATATGCAAGCGCGCAGAGAGTAAGCACATAGGAAAACCAGTGAGTAATAAAAATTTATATATATTTCTGAGTGTTAATCGATTGTAGACAAATTATTGATTGTTTATGTTTGCAATCAATGAGAGAATAGATAACTGTTGATGTGCAGACATGCGTTCAATCAAACGCACAAGTAATTTTACATAGTGGATTACATATCTAAATTATAGCACGTTGACAAATAATAAAATAGTTAAATGGGCTTACTACATGGTGTTTAAATTTCTCTACATATGACTCACAGTGTCATGTCGACCTCTACCTTGATTAGTTATTGCTGTTCTTTGATTTCATTTCCCTTTGATTTGTTTCTTGGTCATATGTTTGTCCATGATTCTTCTGATTGATCGATAGATTGGATAGAAATTCGAATAATTCACTTTTATCTTATTTCTGTGCTGATGTTGTTGTTCAGAATAACAGTGAAATCTCCACGACCGAACCATCTAGCACAGAGAACAAAACTTCACCTAAATCATCCAGTTGAGCTAAAAATCTCCACCATCTCAAAAGTGTATGCCATGTCTATACTACTAACTTCACTGCATATTAAATGAAAATTTTTCTTTATAATTTAATTCTCGTGATTACTGATAAAAGGTCTTTACTAAAAAAAGTAAGATTTATAGCTTCATTGACTTACCCTGTTTTCCGTAAATAATTGACTTCTTCAATAGTACGACCAAAGACAAATGCATTCGAGTGACCAACTTCTTGAAATATTTCAATATTTGATCCATCCATGGTTCCAATAGTTAATGCACCGTTCAACTAGTTAAAAATTTGAAACAAAAAAGTGAATAAGCAATTAGTAATACGAAAAAAACAAGTGAACACGGAGAATGAAGAAGTTATGTAGATACAAAAACGTACACTAGAAGGCTTAGTTTAACACTAGTTTAAAAAGGAAAATCGAAGAATCTAGTGGCCAACCGCTAGAGTGCGAGACCTGAAGGTCTTGGATTCGATCTACTATGTGGTAGTAAACCCACGCTGTTATATATATATATATATATATATATATATATATATATATATATATATATATACCAAAGACGAGAAAATTGATGAAAATTTCTACTACTACTAGAAAAACTATTTTTTTAACACTAGTAATTTTGCGCCTCAAAGTCACAACTTGTTTCAGTGAACTCGGTTCATGAGCTTAATAATTCTGTATCGATTAAATGAAATTAGAAGACATAACATAATTCTAACCTACCTAATATCTATTTGTTCATTTTACTATTTCAGTATATTGAACGATGTGTTATTTGAATTTTACTGAATAAACAAGTAACTGGTGTCACTAAATCGTTATTTTAATAATACTTTTTACTATACAGCGATATCATCTGGATAATCATTGAAAATTGGGAGAGCATTTGACACCCATTTATCTCAATTTACATCTATTCACAGGAATTTATGGTTTGATTTATCGTTCATGTTGTTTGTAAATTCCCGTTTGTCTATTACGACCCTTCATTTTTCACGTCTTAACAGTTTACCGTATGATCACACTATCTCAAATGTAATCCATTGATTTATCACGTATTTCTAATAAACTTATCCTTATAATCATACAATTTAAATCGAATTTTCACTAACTATATATATCGCAATTAAATCTGATTTGCCATTTAACTTACACTAAATACTGATAACTTACTCCCTTCATAGTAACATGTACGGTTTAAATTTAAGGTTATAATTTATCTAATCAGTTAAAGATTTTTCCAGCGTTGCATTGATTTATCATCTTTTTTCCAATACTTTAAACAAACGGAAGGTAAATTAAAGCGATATTAAGGAACAGTTTGTTTTTAAAATTTTTAGTAAAATTCTTAAGAAAATATAAGTTTTTTAAAGCGATATTTAGTAAGTCAACTAATTTAGCAAACTCGAGAGTCATCTTTAGTTCACTAAAAGTGGACGTTTTACAAGTCGACCCAAGTCTGTTAGTTGTTTATCATAGAGGTAATAAGTTCGACCACTTTGGCTATGCTACATATAAATAGAATACTTAAGGTCCATCCTTTAAGATTGTTGCAAATCGTTTAGTCGATGAAATTCTTTTGCAGTAACCCTTGAAGTTATTCACTTACTCCACTACCTAATGTCTAAGTTTTGTCCACGTGTGAAGTGTTATCTTTGAATTCAAATGTATTATAACAGAATCAATATTAACTTCTGTGTAAAATAAAATCATCACCACACAGTGGTGTTATTATTTCAAATTCTTAGTATGACATAGCAATTATCTTCTGTTATGGTTTTGAACTGAAGAATATGTGTGTTATGAAACTGAACACTGTCATTAATCAAGTTTAACATGGACTAGCCGCACGGTTTCTTTATTTATCGACCTGATAATAGAGAGTTAGTTGAGAAACATTTTTAGTTGGGCTTCTGTATTAATAATCCTAAGGTTGTGACACAATACAATTCTTCAGATTGAACTCCAAACACCTTGTTAGATAATTTGATTGAAGTATTAAAAATTCAGTATTTTCTCTTTCATTAAGGACCTGATAAGTATTATGCCTTTATTTTATCTATTTGGGGCTGCATATGATGTAGCAAATCGATAAAGTTTGATCAATATACAGCGTTAAGGTTTCCAACGAAATGACCAAACCAATTATCGATTTCTAAAAGACCGATGGTAGCTTTTCGTTGACGATTGTACATAAGACAATGTAATTTGACGAAGACCCAGAAAATAGGGAAGTAGTTTATGAGTTCCAAAGAATCTAGAAAGTTAACACAGTAAAATAGAAATTTGTCAATTCCATTCGACATTTTGTAGATCATGGGTGGAAATTTTGTGAAGGAATTCATTTATTTTGAATAATACAGTACAATTATTGGCGAGACTCTAATTTATGGACGAGCCAATCTGAACCGTTCCAGAGATTTCAAGGGTACGGCGCCAACTTCAGTGCTTAATGCTAACGTACGATGGGTTCACAAGGAATTTTGTTCAAAACGTGATAATTTAGCGGCTATAACAAAGAAAACGGTGAGACTACAATTTGTGGACGAACCAATCAGGTATAAGATAACAGATCTCGGATTTCGGTGCGAAAGTCTTTCATCAATTTGGCTAAATAGATTTCTGGCATTATAACTGATGTCAGTTCGTGATGAAAATCCCATATATAATTCATAACTAAGACAAATTATGACAATTATTGCGAACTGGATAATAAAAGCACCAGTAACACTGGCTGCAGCCAGGTACTACAATATATACGGATGATTGGAGAGCGTACAGACTCCCACATAGGCTTGGTTATGTGCATCATGTCGTTATCCAAAAGAGGCATTTTGTGTACTCAACAACCAGAGTGCACACAAATAATATTGAAACAATGTGGTCGAGGCTGAAAGAGTTTTTAAAACTTTATCATGGCTCTAGAGGCCAACTGTTCTGTAGCCATATGGATAATTTCCTCTACTGCATGCATTACGATTTTAGAACCTCAGAACCTTTTTCTAACCTTGACAAGTTTTCGAACCATGTACAAGAAGTGTATCCACTTTATTTCCTTGGTTTTGTATAATATATTTTTACTCTATACTGACTGTTTGTTGATTGACTAACATTTCTCAAGGTCACTTAAGATTCGTTCAAAGGTCGTCCATAAATTAGTCTCGACATTTCATTCTCTAACTTTATAAGTTATAATATCCGGTCGTAAGATTAATCTTTATTTAACGAAGCAAGAACAATTAAGCAACGTGAATCACTTCTTATCTCCTTTTAACTATAATTACAATCTAGTAAGTTAAACCATTTATTTCGCCTACATTTTTAAGATATTTATTAGTTCACATGTAGATGAGATGAATACGTAAAAATACATTAAAGTGATTATTTTCTGAAAATCTTGCCACTTTTGTTTCATTTACATTTATTAAACCGATCAAATTCACGTACATTGAAAACCCGTTTGTTTTTGTTGTAAGGGTATGTACATTCCTATTCTTGGCTCTCGTATGTAAAATGATCAGTTGCTGAAGAGATATGAACCACTCGAAAGGCGAGGTACTGCACGTAAAATCAGCTGATGAATACCAAATACAATGAAAACATATACCCTGAGTTCTATCACAAACCAAATAAAATCAAAGAATATAAGATAAAATTTTAAAAACCAAAACGTACTTTAATTATACATAAAAATTAAATATAAAACTTTATAACCAATGTTTTTCATCTAGAATTTACCATAAACTTCATATTCCCTGTTCCTGAGGCTTCTGTACCAACACATGGAATTTGTTCAGATAAATCTGTTGCGGGTATAATACGTTCGGCCAAACTGACCCGATAATTTCGTAAAAATATAAGCTAATAAAACAATGTATAAAGAAGAAAGCTTATAGTCAACTTAAAAATATTATATACATATTAATACTGATATTAGAAATATGACATGGAAAACATGTTTAAAACAGTTATCATAGATTGAATCATAAGACACTGATGTCACAGTGAAAAATTTTGAAACATTAATTTAGTAATTTAAAAAACCCTTTAATCACAACACTTGTTATGATATCAGTGTTTTTTCTTCATAAATAATGGATCCTCATGAGCAATAAAAAATAATTTTGAGGTTCTACAACTCTCAAAAAAAAACTAAAGAGATAGCAAACCAAGTTGTTGTAATATTTCCCACGAAAGCAGAAACTATACAATCAAATGCACTTTATTTCCTCTATTATCATTTTCTTGTAAGAATAACATCTATTTTATAAAAACACATTGACCACTCTCTGACTTAGTCATTAGTTAGAAATTTTAGCTTTTTATGAAAACAGAGTAATCAAATTTTTTAGAGATTTATGAGTGGAAGAAATTTGTTGTTGATCACACAAAAGGTAACAATTAAAAGATTGGTATAAAATTACTAATAAAGGGGATTTATGAGGATTATAAAACTTTTGCAATTCAAATTCAGTCCTGGCTAGACCACTATCTAAAACCTGAAAGCCCAAGATGGCCGTTTCCGTCTGGTATGGGACTTCCCAGCAGTGTGTTTCTAGTGTGTACATGGTCGTTACAAATGTCGAGTAAGAGATAGTCATCCACCACATGCAATGGATGAAGATTGTGCAATATCGTGAAATGACTGGAAATAAACACCAATACTGTTGGATGCCGGTTCAGTGTTCTATAGGTTAAGCGTCAGCGCGAGATCGTATGTCTTGATTTCGTATCATTTTTGCAGGGTTGTGAATGAGCACTTTTGAGGGGTCCCACCCTAGTACGAAATGGTCGTCTAGTGCTCCCTGGTTTTCAACAGTGGTCTAGCTGAGATCAGTCCACGATGTGTGCTGTGATGTAAAAATGGTTAGCAATTTTGAAAATGGTTATCAGTATAGAATATAAATATATAAATGTATGAAGAGTTAACGTTTTTAGGTACATGGATTTTATGTAATACGGGAACCAATATGTTTTTTTTAAATCTAATCTGTCGACAATAAACTTGTAAAGAAATCGTTTTACTAGTGATCCACCATATGAATCGATGGACGTGGGTGTAAGAAAGCTAAAATTATTAACAATGTTTACATACAACTTTCTCATATTGCTGTTTTATCACTTGATCGCCCTAACTCTTAAACGAATTAGTTAATAAAATTTTTGTAGACGATCAAAAATTTTGCCATAAAACTGTTTTATAGTCATCGGAAAAGTACAAAAAAGCCTTTAACGTAAATAAATTTGTACTTAGAATAATTAGGTTATTTAGTGATATGTTCGAAAAATTATAAACGTGCTACAATCACTAAAATTTTAGTGACCCCAGTAGTTCAGTTACGAAATACTTTGAATTTTTGTAGTCTCTATTCATTGGATGAAAGATTATTTATTTATTTATTTGAACACATAAATATTGGTACAAGGGGGCACCAAATATACATGCGCCACATAAAACAATGATAATATGAAGAGAAGGAGAAAAAAAGTAATGAACGTGGGGAATTATAAAAAAAAAGGGAGAGAGAGAGAACAATGGTGGGGGAAACGGAAAGGTACAATCAGAAGAGATCTTTCAGTTAAGGAAGAAGCAACCACTTTTTATGAAGAAAGTAAAAGAAGGTTACAGCACGATCGCCACTGGCTTCTATTCTGAGCCATATCTGATAACGTCTCTAGCCACTGCGTTACACCGTCTCTCGGACCCCAACCAGGGAGTCGTGAAGGACCAACAGAAGCTAGCCCTTTGCAGCTTTCTTTCATACCACGACACCATGTCATATACTGACGACCTCTCCGCTTTTTCCAACCAGTCCCAGAGTCGGCAAATAATGCAGGACGAGGAATTCTCTGGGATGACATTCGTAGAACATGTCCAAGCCACCGAAGTTGGTGTTTCAAAATGGTGACACCAATTGCATTATCATCTCTGTGCCCGAACACACGATGCCGAACCTCTGCATTACTAACATGGTGTTGCCACTGGATGCCAGCAATCCTTCGGAGACAGCGATGATCGAACACAGAGAGTCGTCTAACATCCTCAACTAGGAGAGGCCAGGTTTCACAAGCATAGAGCAAAACTGCTCTCACCGTCGCGTTGTAGATCCGACCTTTTACAGCCAGACTAACATCACGAAGGCGCCAAAGATGGCCCAGATTGGCATAAGCCGCTCTGGCTTTCACTATGCGTGCATTGATCTCATCACTCACACCACCACCAGCACTTATGCAGCTACCTAGATACACGAACTTCTCGACTACTTCAATCTGCTCACCATCCAGAGTGAGTACAGGATTAGAATCCTGCCAGTCTTGTAGAAGAACTTTGCACTTCGAAGGTGCAAAGCACATACCGTATCTACAAACATTGATTGATAACTGATTAAGTGCGGATCGCATGGCTTGGGCATTCTCGCACAGTAAGATAATATCATCTGCGTACTCAAGGTCGAGAAGTCATTCTCCAGGCAACAGATCCACACCACCATTACTTACATCCATCAGAGCTGTTTCCAGAATGTCATCGATGGCAAAGTTGAAGAGGAATGGTGAGATTGGGCAACCCTGTCAACTCGATTGCTCGAATGGAATAGTGGAGAAAGGTGGTTGTATGCCCTCACTCTGCCTGAGGTGTTTGTGTATAGGGCTTTTAGGATGTTAATAAACTTCTCAGGCATACCCTTCTTCAATAGACAATCCCAGAGAACAGTTCTGTCCAACGAACCGAAGGCAACCCTCATGTAAAGAAACACTACGATTGTTGGCCTTTGATAAATATGACGGTGTTCTAACACTTGGCGGAGGGTGAAGATATGATCAATACATCCTCGACCAGAACGAAACCAAGCCTGCTCCTCGCGAGTCAATCTTTCTCGGGTTCTGAACAACCTACGAAGTATAACGGAAGCCAATAGCTTGGACGCAATCGGAAGTAGACTTATCCCCCGATAGTTGTTACAGGAATGACGTGAACCCTTTTTAAAGATAGAGACAACTATCGACTCATTCCATGACGTTGGTACACTCTCTAGTTCCTAAACCTTTGTAAACAACGTCGTCAGTCCCTTAGTCAGAAAGTCACCGCCATCTTTAAAAAGAGCCGGAGGTAAGTCGTCTGGGCCCGGTGATTTGTAACGTTTCAAGAGTTGGAGTTCCTTGCGGACTTCCGCCTCATTTGGTGGATCAGTCGTCACCGGCCATGGAGGGCAGGACAGTCTGACCGATGTTGCCGGAGCAGCAGGCCAGTTGAACTGCCCTTCAAAGAATTCTGCCCATCGTCCAAGACGTCGATGGATGTTAGTGATTGGCGTTCCGTCATCTTCGCAGATTGTTTCGCTCACACCAGACTTCTTGCTGCCAGTGGCTCGGATGAGTTGGAAGAGCTTCCGGTAATAACCAGATGCAGCTGTTGCTTCCAGCTCATTAGCACGCTCCGACCACCAGGCTTCACGGTCCTTACGCAAGCTTTGCCCGATTTCATTACGTAACATCCTTCGTCTGTGGTCAAACTCACGGTCACCCGGAGTAGACCGACGGGCTTCAATCAGTTGTAAGGAACCAGAAGAAGCCCAATGCTTGTAAGTGGGACGTTTCGCAAACCCACAACAGACTGTACCCGCCATTTTCATGGCGTCATGCAATTGCACCCAATGCTCATCTATACTTTTCGGTGGAATGGTAGCTAGCCTAGAAGCTAGCTCGGTTCGGTACTTACTAGCAACAGAAGTTGCAGCCAGCTTGCTAACATCAATCCTTTGGTGGCGGTCACTTCGTTGTCCACTGAAAAGTAAGGTAAGATTGGCGCAGACCAGAGCATGATCAGATTCCAGATAGGTACACCAAAAGGAGCGGCAGTCTTGTACACAACCGCGCCAGCGGTAGCTGATCGCGACGTGGTCAATCTGAGTCCAGGCTTGAGATGCAGAAGGAGGACGCCAGGTGGCACATCAGAGATGACTGTGCCGAAAGTTAGTGCTAGCCAGAAACAGGTTGTGGTCTGTGCATAGTTGCAGTAGACGTTCCCCGTTATCTGTCCTGCGACCAACGAGTCCCCATCGGCCACCTAAACGACTCTCTTCTGTGCCTAGACGCCCGACCTGAGAATTCACGTCTCCAGCTAGTACTACAATATCTGTCGAACGCACTTTCTGGAGAAGAACAGTTAGCTGATGGTAGAACTCGTCCTTGATTGCATCCGGGCTGCAATCTGTCGGGGCATAGGCGGAGATGACGAAAAGTCATTGTTTCTCACGCCGATTTCTTCTCACTTTGATAGAACTTTCTAATCTAACAGCACATAACCGACTGTTAATGGGGATCCAGTCGACTAGTGCTGCCTCAGCTCTAGCGCTTAGTGCGACACCAACGCCAGCAAGACCAGACGAAGATGCCACAGGGTCCCCGGATAAACGCACATAAAACAAGCTTTTTGAAGTGACAGATGGAGAGCGAACTTGTAGTACTTCACCAGAGTCTTGAATACGGGTCTCGGATAGACAAAATACGTCAATATTAAGACTTTCTAAAGACATAGCCAGCCCTATCTGTTGTCCGACCTGCATAAGTGTGCGAACGTTGAAGGCAGCCAGTTTGAATGGTGCATGTGGTTTCAGAAAAACTGCTTCAGTACTCATATTCCGTAGTAACATACAATTCTCAACCAGGCAGTGACTCGAGAACGTTTAGATAAAGCTGAATTTTCACCATAGGCGAGCTGCTGTTTGAGTCGAAACGGATACAAAAATTAGAAATAGGAGATAGTGAATAAATGACGTGGTAAAATAATAATAATAATAGTAATAACAATAATAATAATATTAGTGTAAGTCATTTCATTGTAAATCAGAGAGAAAAGAATATTTTCCATAAGTAAATAGTTCATCATGTTTTAGTGTGTGGGCTGAGATACTGCCCGGGTGCCCGGACCGAAGCAGGTGGTTTTCTTAGGGGGCCACACCCCGAGCCTTTGACCTAAAGATCTAGTCCACAAGGCAGTGGAGCATCGTGAGGAGATGCAGTCCCATGGAAGCCGGTGACCAAAAATTGGTTCATACGCCATTTGTTCCTTCAGGATACTGAAGCCCATGTGCACCATTGGTTTGGGATCCGGTTATAGCGCCGAACATTCGCTTTTCGTTCTCTTAATTTCATAAAAAACATCCCTGCCACGAGAAGGCAGTGAGTAGGACTTCCCTGGCAGAGGCTGTATACGCGTGGCCATGTGAGAGTATTTCGAGAGGGGGGGCGAACCCACCCCACTCTCGGCCATACCAGGGCATTTGGGGGCGGATGAAAGATGGCTTTAGGAATCGCCCAAGATTATCTCTCTATACCATACTATTGAGGAAATTTTATTCGCAAACATACAAAAATCCTACTTTTTCTGTAACCGTATCAAAGAACCAGTAAATCAATACTCATTACCCATTTACAATTTATAAACGTGAATTTGGATGTGACTGCAAACAATTAGTGTGTATCACTAAGCAGCAAACAATTCGAAATCATAGACGAACAATGTAAGGTTTGATGCAAAGGCATTTTAAATGTGAAAAGATAATGATTTATTAGACCGCCAATAAAATAGACAGTTCAGACTATACAAAATACATCGGTTTTTAGAGATTCATTACATATTGATAATTATTAAGATTTTGATCAAACTTAAACTGAATAGCCTCAATTAATTTATGACATGAAGTTGGTTTACTAAATGTCGCAAGGTCAACAAAGTTTATTACACAGTCACATGCTTTCTTAGAATTAATATAAACATATCAGTCTATATCGTGAAAAAATCACAACTACTGTTTCGTAATAATATATCTAAAATTTCAAGTAACTACGAAAAAATACATTACGAAATTTTATCATATAACCTTGTCCTAATGATTAAGATGGACGTTATTTAAGGATTGATAGTTTGAAATGCATTCATTTACATGGGTAAAAGTACAATATAGAGAAAAAGATATCAGAATCGAGACGACAGTTGAGCTTTAGTGGACTTTTATCGTACATTAAATAAAACGAGAAGCCTTGTATAGTGCTTAAAAAACCTAAAATGATGTAAAACCTTTTTTCATTAATAATGGAAAATGATAGTATTAAATGTTTCCCAGTCCTCAGTTTCTTTAACGTAGATCGTATAAAACACATGAATTAACCATTGTTTGAACATGAACCTTCGATCCTAACCCAAACCCTAAAGTCCTAAATTTTTAGTTATACCCCCTAAGAAAAACCCTCTGAACTTAAACTCATTAATTCCAACTTTAAATCTTCAATCCTAACCATTAATCTCAACCATGAACAAATAATCCTAATCCTAAAAGAGAACAATGTAGGAACTCCTAAAAAATCTTTCGGGTCCTTATAAAAGCTCGAGAATATAGTTATTCTATATTCATATGAACAATTTCCAAGTCATTGTCATTCTATTAACAGATATAAAAACCTGTAGAATACTTTAATAAATTCATTAATTATTTAGAATCTGCGTATCATTAGTAATATTAATATTTTTTATTTACATCATACACGTTTACAATGGCCACTTTCTAAGACGTTAACACTTAGCTAAAAGTTGTCGCAGTATTTTTTAACTTCGTCCCTATACTATATTCTTGCCGTCAAAATTTTCTTACTATTATTTACCATTGTGCATAAGACCAACCAGCCATGTATTTCCCGATCAATCCCTGGTTACATTAAGTCTCGATAGATTACAGTTTTATGGTTTGATAGTTATGTAAACTATATTAGTTTTTACAGTCTTAATACAGGCCAACATCAATCGTGAATTTTCATAAATCAAAATTTCGTTCATAATCTGATTGGTTACGAATAAAAAAACCATAAATGGAATTCGGTAAAAAAATAAGAGATCGTTGGTAAATCTTAACTGGACCAAATGCTTAAGTAAACCATTTTAGGTCAATTCACATCCAAGGTAGTAGAAAAATCGGATATATATTATTCACATTTTTCTTAGAACTAAGTAAGTGGTGATAGTTATCATTGTGCGTAGTATAAGTAGATAACATATCTCAGGTAGTACACATGCTGTCTAAAGATATCTTTTAAAACATTCAAAATGGTTCATTACAGTTGGCTTATCAGTGACTAATGACCCTGTTTTTTTAAATTTTAAACAAGTAAAAATATATTTATTTCAAAAAACAACTGGCTAAACATACTTTAAGTTTACCCGTTGTAATTGGATCGAAATCAATTATTCTTGCAACAGAATTAATTAATTTTATGATCAGTTTAGCCATGTGGTATCCAGGCGCAGCTTTACCACCAATAATAATTGTTCTAGGACACATTTTCATTTCAGGATTTGCTTTTAAACGATTATACATAGTTATAGCATATAAACATGGTAGGAGTGGACGCTTGTATTCTAGAACACGTTTTACCTGTTTTTGATAAAAAGAAAAGATTTTGAACAAACATTTAAATAATATAGTTATTTGAGTAAAGAAGAAAAGTCTCTAAATAAACACTTCAAAAAAGAGCACTTGGTCTTAATTATGTAGTTAAAAAAACTACGTTCTGCCTGTAAACGGTAACAAATTGTCATTATTTTGTATTTAGATATCTATTTAGAACAGAATAAAAAGAACTAGCAATAAAATAATTAGGTAAAGATTTACGTCACGGACCACTGGAGTTCAATCATGTAAGATTTCAAGTAGTTATGTACTGCAAATAATGGGTGGGAGTTGTGCAACATCTTGGGTTGGTTGAAGTTAGATATGTATACCATTGGATGCCGGTTCAATGGTCTGGAGGTTAAGTGTTCGCTCACGAGACTTTAGTTCCTGGATCCCATTCCTATGTGTGGGGTCGTAAATGTGCCCCAGTGAGGAGTTCCCTATGAGAACAGGACAATTGTTCAGGACTTCATAGTTTTTCATGATTGCTTTACTAAGATCAGTTTAGACTACGAAATTCAAAAACCTCTACAAAGGCCTTTTGAGAAAATAATTATTATTGGTTTATCATCATTAGAGTTAAGGCGATTGTGCATTTTCCTCGATAATTTGATGCGATTGCAGAAAAATAAATAAGAACTTTCGTCTAAATTTGATCGAATAGTTTCACAGTATTTTGGCGCCGAGTTAATGTGAGACATTAAAGAGGAAGAATGTATTTGTAAAATCTCAGCGAAAGAATTTGAAGTAAATCCAACGTTTCGCCTGGCAATCAGGTCCAAACTTTTTCAAGGAAATTAGAGTTAAGGGTTTTCTTAAAAAAGGACTAATTGAAAGTATACGATGCCAGATTTTTATCGCAAAGTTATGACCAATTCCATAAACATAATTCTGTTTCCAAACTAGGCAAATAACAGATGGAATAACAAAAAGAGCTGTTTACCGGAAACCAACTTCATTAGGACAATATATCCATCTTTTAAGCTTAATTTCACGATAAAGTATACAAAGTTTAATTAAATACTCGTTTGAAAAAGCTGAAATAATTTACTGAAAATAAATCTAAAAGGAATGGATAATTACTTCTGAATTACTTTAGAGAAATACACATTCATTATAGTCCCTAACAATATGTATCTTTGAAACAAAAACTAAAGTGATGTTATCGACAGTACTTAGAAAATGCCTGGTTTGAAACTAGTTTACTAGAAACGTTTATTATGATCGCATAACAAAGTTCAAGGAATGCCATAAGAAAGACACTTATCCTTTTCAAAAAAACTAATAATGAGTTAACAAAATAAACACAGTGTCAAGTTTTACTAAACCTATAAATTTATTTACTAATTCAATTGCTTTCGCTCATGAGAACATAGTCATTTTGTTTAGAATAGTTCATCTATTGGTACTCCATTATATGAAGTATTTTTTGTTTAGAAGTAAGATATAACAATGAAAGCCTATGATCTAACGATTTTATTAAAACATAAATAAAAAAATCAGTATCTATAGCTTGCTATAGTTTTCTCTTGCTCAGCATAACTACGTTTGCTATTCAGCTAATCACATGCAACGTAGAACCGGACATGAATGTTTGCATCAGTTCAGGATTTCACAGCATAGCGAGATTAAGTTACCAGAATAGTGGTAGAACGGGTAATAGTAACGGAAGCAATAGAAAAAATGAAGCATAAGAGATATGATTTGAGGAGAAAATGTGGGTTCGTGAAATTAAAAAAAAAACTATAAAACGTTTTAAAACCTTTAGGATCTAAAGAAAGACAAAGAGCATTTGCGCCTAGGTGATTGTGATCGATCCCAATGCATTTCATGCAAAATCTGTAACTACTTGTGTGCTTTAGTTTTTTTTATAAAAGAAAACGATTATTAAGTTGGCACTCAAATAGCATTATTTCAATGATATTATTAACTTACGTACATGAACATCAAAAATGGAACTTGGATTTAATTGAACACTTCTATGCTGTTGCATATAAGCAACAAATCGATTTTTATTGTCTTGTTTAATTAATATAAGGCGATTTCGAAAATTTCTATCATTTAATTTTTCTTTTAATCGATTCAACATTATAAGATTTTTTACCCAATCATCAGATTGTATGGTGCCTCGAATAAGATCGGTCAAGCCTGGATTACATACTAATAACCAACGTCTCGGACTAATACCATTTGTTTTATTGGTAAATTTCGATGGCCATAAGTCTGCAAAATCCTTAAATCTAATAAAAGTGATTTAAAACAGAGAATAGTAACATAGAAATAATATACTAAGCATCAATAACTATATTTGGTAAAAAACGAAAAAAAAATTCGTTTTAACAAAGACTGTAATTAATATAGTTTTAATTCAGTAGTTGTGCTTCGATAGTTTGGTATGTATAGAACTACATTGAGCACATTAATTTTTCCTAATTCTTCTTATTCATATTCTATAAAACCTTTTATGATAAGCAGTTGGACGTAGTCGAGAAGACAGTTTAGACATAGGTTTTGAGCTGGTAGTAACTTATCAGCAAGACTTACCTGAAGTATCAAGTGAACTGGTTGCACGCAAGCTGTCCATTGTATACGGCGCATCATCTGAGATGTGGAGGTTTCCATAATCTAGTCAACCTTCAAAAGAGAGAGAAAGGGGGAGATACAGTAAGCAGTCTTATCTGACACCGGTCCTCATTTGGAATAAGTGTCAGCTATCCTCCATGCACCACTTTACACTGTAGTCCGTCGTATGAATTCCTGATGATGTTGACGATTTCAGGTACTCTTTCCATAGTGTCGAAGAAGGTTACATGTAGTTCTCTCATGCACACTGTCAAACGTCTTCTCATAATCAAGGAAGTAGATGTATGGTGACGAATTCCATTTAGTTGACTGCTCAACGATAATCTGTAGTGTCGCCATTTGGTCTATGCACGACCGATCGTTACCGAATTCAATCGATTGGTCTTGAAGCTAAGCGTCTACTGGATGTTTTATCCCGTTAAGCCACATTGTTGAAACCCTTTCCTGGTACTGATAGTAGTGTGATACGTGTGTAGTTCTCACATTTGCTCAGATCCCCTTTCTTTGAAATCTTGATGAGGTGTCCTTTTTCCAGTCTGTCGGTGGAACTTGTTCTTCCTCATAAATCTTCCAGAATAGAGTATGGAGTATGTTTGCAGTTGTTTCTATGTCTGACTTGAGTTCTTCAGATGGTTTGTTTTCAGGTGCTGCTGCTTTCCCACACTTGAACTGTGTTTGGGTTTTTCGGTTGTTGATATTTTTGGCTGAAGTTTGATCAGTCATTATTAGTATATCATGGCAGCTCATGCAAGAGGCACAAATACGAACAGAGATCTATCGAAATTCAGTCAAGTTTATTACTAACGGAATTATTCAAACCATTTCTAATACTGATAAACACAGCATATCCATTGCTAAAGCGAGTGGCTTTCTGAACTCAGTAACTCATTGGGGATCTATGCGACAATTATTGGGTTTACGTCTTAATCCAAAAGCTAATATGAAGACCCAGACACATCCAGCTAACACGTTCTTAACAGGACAAAATGCTTGTTCATATCAAATTATATTTTTCAAGTTAGCAAAACTTCTTATATCACGTTGATATCTATTGTTCGCTTTATGTTTTTGCAGAAAAAGTTTAATTAATCAGACAGTAACATTATCTTTGACCCTTTTGTCTTTTATTTACTTAAAATGAGCACATCATTCATCTATATACAGTTATCAAAATTAAATATGAAAACTTTAGTGAAAAAGAAGATTCAGATAATTGAATGTATCAGTAAAGCAAATAAACAAGCTTGAATGAACATAATTTTCTAAATAATAAGAAACAGAATATGAAGTCAACAAAACTTATGCAAGATATATTAAAGCTAAGATGATTAGGCAACACTGAACTATCTTAACAAAGTTTTGAATAGACACATTTATGAAATGCAATCATTTGTACATGAAAAGGTCACAAATAGTAATTTTTTTCCTAGGATAATTTCCATGATTACCATTACTTAATATGAATTAAGTGAAGAAACTATTTACCTATTTAGATTGTAGAACGATCAATTGTATTAACTCATGTAAATGGAGATTATAAGTTGAGAATTTTAAAGAAATTATCGACAGTCACTTGAATGATTCAATCATTTTGCTTGGAAAACTGGTTCACGATTCTTCATGGATATAGACAAAATTTCAATGATTTCTCTGAAGAAATCAAGTGAAATATTAAGCATTTTTACATTCCAATTTTTGAGATTATTTCAAGTCGAATTTTTGTACTTTATATCTTCTCATTACTTACGGTCCAATTTTTATCAGAACTTAGCCCCCAAATGCCCTGGTATGGCCGAGAGCGGGGAGGGTTCGCCCTCCCTCTCGAAATACTCTCACACGGCCACGCGTATACAGCCTCTACCAGGGAAGTCCTACTCACTGCCTTCTCGTCGCGGGGGTGTTGTTTACGAAAATGAGAGGACGAAAAGCGAACGTCCGGCGCTATAACCGGATCCCAAACCAATGGTGCACATGGGCTTCAGTATCCTGAAGGAACAAATGGCGTATGAACCAATTTTTGGTCACCGGCTTCCATGGGACTGCATCTCCTCACGATGCTCCACTGCCTTGTGGACTAGATCTTTAGGTCAAAGGCTCGGGGTGTGGCCCCCTAAGAAAACCACCTGCTTCGGTCCGGGCACCCGGGCAGTATCTCAGCCCACACACTAAAACATGATGAACTATTTACTTATGGAAAATATTCTTTTCTCTCTGATTTACAATGAAATGACTTACACTAATATTATTATTATTGTTATTACTATTATTATTATTTTACCACGTCATTTATTCACTATCTCCTATTTCTAATTTTTGTATCCGTTTCGACTCAAACAGCAGCTCGCCTATGGTGAAAATTCAGCTTTATCTAAACGTTCTCGAGTCACTGCCTGGTTGAGAATTGTATGTTACTACGGAATATGAGTACTGAAGCAGTTTTTCTGAAACCACATGCACCATTCAAACTGGCTGCCTTCAACGTTCGCACACTTATGCAGGTCGGACAACAGATAGGGCTGGCTATGTCTTTAGAAAGTCTTAATATTGACGTATTTTGTCTATCCGAGACCCGTATTCAAGACTCTGGTGAAGTACTACAAGTTCGCTCTCCATCTGTCACTTCAAAAAGCTTGTTTTATGTGCGTTTATCCGGGGACCCTGTGGCATCTTCGTCTGGTCTTGCTGGCGTTGGTGTCGCACTAAGCGCTAGAGCTGAGGCAGCACTAGTCGACTGGATCCCCATTAACAGTCGGTTATGTGCTGTTAGATTAGAAAGTTCTATCAAAGTGAGAAGAAATCGGCGTGAGAAACAATGACTTTTCGTCATCTCCGCCTATGCCCCGACAGATTGCAGCCCGGATGCAATCAAGGACGAGTTCTACCATCAGCTAACTGTTCTTCTCCAGAAAGTGCGTTCGACAGATATTGTAGTACTAGCTGGAGACGTGAATTCTCAGGTCGGGCGTCTAGGCACAGAAGAGAGTCGTTTAGGTGGCCGATGGGGACTCGTTGGTCGCAGGACAGATAACGGGGAACGTCTACTGCAACTATGCACAGACCACAACCTGTTTCTGGCTAGCACTAACTTTCGGCACAGTCATCTCTGATGTGCCACCTGGCGTCCTCCTTCTGCATCTCAAGCCTGGACTCAGATTGACCACGTCGCGATCAGCTACCGCTGGCGCGGTTGTGTACAAGACTGCCGCTCCTTTTGGTGTACCTATCTGGAATCTGATCATGCTCTGGTCTGCGCCAATCTTACCTTACTTTTCAGTGGACAACGAAGTGACCGCCACCAAAGGATTGATGTTAGCAAGCTGGCTGCAACTTCTGTTGCTAGTAAGTACCGAACCGAGCTAGCTTCTAGGCTAGCTACCATTCCACCGAAAAGTATAGATGAGCATTGGGTGCAATTGCATGACGCCATGAAAATGGCGGGTACAGTCTGTTGTGGGTTTGCGAAACGTCCCACTTACAAGCATTGGGCTTCTTCTGGTTCCTTACAACTGATTGAAGCCCGTCGGTCTACTCCGGGTGACCGTGAGTTTGACCACAGACGAAGGATGTTACGTAATGAAATCGGGCAAAGCTTGCGTAAGGACCGTGAAGCCTGGTGGTCGGAGCGTGCTAATGAGCTGGAAGCAGCAGCTGCATCTGGTTATTACCGGAAGCTCTTCCAACTCATCCGAGCCACTGGCAGCAAGAAGTCTGGTGTGAGCGAAACAATCTGCGAAGATGACGGAACGCCAATCACTAACATCCATCGACGTCTTGGACGATGGGCAGAATTCTTTGAAGGGCAGTTCAACTGGCCTGCTGCTCCGGCAACATCGGTCAGACTGTCCTGCCCTCCATGGCCGGTGACGACTGATCCACCAAATGAGGCGGAAGTCCGCAAGGAACTCCAACTCTTGAAACGTTACAAATCACCGGGCCCAGACGACTTACCTCCGGCTCTTTTTAAAGATGGCGGTGACTTTCTGACTAAGGGACTGACGACGTTGTTTACAAAGGTTTAGGAACTAGAGAGTGTACCAACGTCATGGAATGAGTCGATAGTTGTCTCTATCTTTAAAAAGGGTTCACGTCATTCCTGTAACAACTATCGGGGGATAAGTCTACTTCCGATTGCGTCCAAGCTATTGGCTTCCGTTATACTTCGTAGGTTGTTCAGAACCCGAGAAAGATTGACTCGCGAGGAGCAGGCTTGGTTTCGTTCTGGTCGAGGATGTATTGATCATATCTTCACCCTCCGCCAAGTGTTAGAACACCGTCATATTTATCAAAGGCCAACAATCGTAGTGTTTCTTTACATGAGGGTTGCCTTCGGTTCGTTGGACAGAACTGTTCTCTGGGATTGTCTATTGAAGAAGGGTATGCCTGAGAAGTTTATTAACATCCTAAAAGCCCTATACACAAACACCTCAGGCAGAGTGAGGGCATACAACCACCTTTCTCCACTATTCCATTCGAGCAATCGAGTTGACAGGGTTGCCCAATCTCACCATTCCTCTTCAACTTTGCCATCGATGACATTCTGGAAACAGCTCTGATGGATGTAAGTAATGGTGGTGTGGATCTGTTGCCTGGAGAATGACTTCTCGACCTTGAGTACGCAGATGATATTATCTTACTGTGCGAGAATGCCCAAGCCATGCGATCCGCACTTAATCAGTTATCAATCAATGTTTGTAGATACGGTATGTGCTTTGCACCTTCGAAGTGCAAAGTTCTTCTACAAGACTGGCAGGATTCTAATCCTGTACTCACTCTGGATGGTGAGCAGATTGAAGTAGTCGAGAAGTTCGTGTATCTAGGTAGCTGCATAAGTGCTGGTGGTGGTGTGAGTGATGAGATCAATGCACGCATAGTGAAAGCCAGAGCGGCTTATGCCAATCTGGGCCATCTTTGGCGCCTTCGTGATGTTAGTCTGGCTGTAAAAGGTCGGATCTACAACGCGACGGTGAGAGCAGTTTTGCTCTATGCTTGTGAAACCTGGCCTCTCCTAGTTGAGGATGTTAGACGACTCTCTGTGTTCGATCATCGCTGTCTCCGAAGGATTGCTGGCATCCAGTGGCAACACCATGTTAGTAATGCAGAGGTTCGGCATCGTGTGTTCGGGCACAGAGATGATAATGCAATTGGTGTCACCATTTTGAAACACCAACTTCGGTGGCTTGGACATGTTCTACGAATGTCATCCCAGAGAATTCCTCGTCCTGCATTATTTGCCGACTCTGGGACTGGTTGGAAAAAGCGGAGAGGTCGTCAGTATATGACATGGTGTCGTGGTATGAAAGAAAGCTGCAAAGGGCTAGCTTCTGTTGGTCCTTCACGACTCCCTGGTTGGGGTCCGAGAGACGGTGTAACGCAGTGGCTAGAGACGTTATCAGATATGGCTCAGAATAGAAGCCAGTGGCGATCGTGCTGTAACCTTCTTTTACTTTCTTCATAAAAAGTGGTTGCTTCTTCCTTAACTGAAAGATCTCTTCTGATTGTACCTTTCCGTTTCCCCCACCATTGTTCTCTCTCTCTCCCTTTTTTTATAATTCCCCACGTTCATTACTTTTTTTTCTCTTCTCCTTCTCTTCAAATTATCATTGTTTTGTGTATATTTGGTGCCCCCCTTTACCCCCTGTTAGTTTATATCTTGAAAAGTTTTCAATATAAAGTAATTTAACTGATTCAAATTAAAAGTTTCTGACAATTGTTTCTAGTGAAATATATATTTTGTTAAATGGTAGATTTAAGTACACCAATGATATCATTTTAAGTTGTCTTCGCATTAGAGCTACACAGATATATGTAAAATTAGTTAACAAAAAAAAACAATACTCATTATATAAGGCAGTTATAACATCGTTTAAATTATTTAGATAATTTAATCAATTTACATTAAACAGTAAAAATCAGAAAATGACCTAGAAGTTACAATGACTGACAAGTAAGACTATATATATATATATATATATATATATATATATATATATATATATATATATATATATATATATATATATATATAAAATCACATCTTGAAAGCCCTGTATACAAACACCTTAGGTACAGTGAAGACATGCAACCATTTCTATCCATTGTTCTATTTAGGCAGGGTCGCGCGATCTCATCTTTCCTCTTCAACTTTGCTATCGATGATGTTCTGGAAACAGTTTAGATAGATGTAGGTAATGGTGGTGTGGATCTGTTGCCTGGAGAAAGACTTTTCGACCCTGAGTATGCAGATGATATTGTCTTGCTGTACGACGATATCCAAGACATACAGTCACTGTTATCGCCGGGGGATTGCTAACATCCAGTGGCAACACCATGTTAGTAATTGCGAGGTTCGGCATTGTGTGTTCGAGCACAGGGACGATAGTTCAACTAGTGTCACTATCTTGAAACATCGACTTTGGTGACTTGCACGTGTTCTACGAATGCCGTCTCAGACAATTCTACCTCGTGCATTATTTGCCGATGCTGAGACGGGTTGGAAAAAGCGGAGAGGTGGTCAATGCATGACATGGTGTCGTGCTATGAAATAAAGCTATACAGAACTGCCTTTTGTTGGACCTCCACAACTCCCTGGTTGGGGTCCTAGAGATGATAAAACAGTGGTTAGAGACGTTATCAGACATGTCTCAAAATAGAAGCCAGTGGCGGTCCTTCTGTGACTCTCTTTTACTTCCATTACGAAAGAGAACGTCACTTCTTTAACTGAAAGAATTTCTGGTTGTATTTTTCCTAACTGAACTGTTTCTCCCATTATTATCAATATTGTTTCACTCTCATACACTAATTTCTGTTCGTTGCTCTACTTTTTATAGTACACACTTTACATTCTCTATCTCTTCACAACTTCATTATTATTTTGTGGCGCATATGTATTTGTTGCCCCTTTGTACCAATGTTTATGTACTCAAATAAATAAATAAATATTAAACTGCATGAAAGAATAGAAAAATAAATCTAATTATTTACTGAAATTCACTTTACAATCTTCAGTTTCATCACCATTTATTGAAAGTGTATATTACTTGTACTGAGACGTCAGAAAAACTCATTTTGTCCATGCGTTAAGAATCCCTTATACGGTTATATTTATAAACCATAGAAATTTAAATAACTAAAGGACCATATTAAGGTGTATGTTAATTGGATACTTTGCTGCATGAAATATCAACAGAACAAAATAAATAAATGGTTGTATATCGGCTTTAATCACCCCATGTGTAAAACTGACTAGTTGTTTTTGTTTAGTTTATAAATTATCCACCTACAAATATGACCTACTATAACTAATAAACAAGTTTCGTGAATATGTTTATATTATAAGTAATGACTTTTCTGTTATAACCATACAAGTAAATTAATAAAATGACTCAAGTATTTCAAAACAAAATACGGATGATCAATCAGAAATAAAACCAATATTAAGGGCTAAGGCATTCTGGCGATTGAATACTGGATGATGGGGAGTAAATTTCTTTAAAGATTTTAGTTCAAGTATTTGGAGTTATCTCCAACTGTCTGCAATGAACATGTTTATGCGGTGCAGTTAATAAAAAAACACTCATATAACGAAAGTTGAGGCTTGAGATGAAATTTCTGGTAAAAACAGAGCTATAATATGGAATACTCACTTAGTAAATGAATGAAAAAATAACCAAATGCATTAGATATAACACACATATAAAACATTGAAAACGTTGTAATTGACCGCAGTTATACTGAATGAAATACTAAGCAAAAGTTCAACATACAAGATATTTATTAAATGGTTCGTTTGGAAAATTGAAACACCATTGACAAAATGTGATCCAATTATGCATAAATGGTCCATACTAACAACGGGTTCATTGATCTCTTGAAATATAGACATACGTTGGAATCGATTTTCATCGCTTGGCCACCTTCTGTTTATGACCTATAATAAAGAATACTAACAGTTTATTAACAGTTAAGTTTTTAATATAAACATTCGAACAGCCTTTTTGTAGCCGTGATGAAAAAAAGTAAGAATCGGAAAATAGCATACTTAGTAACCATCAATTTGTTTGGCGCTACGAAATCCTTTGTACAAATAAATCGGTTTCATGCATAATATAAATAACAGAATATCACTTTTATTATATGAGCTACATACAGTTTCGCTATATTCTTATAAATGCCATTATTATTCCCAGTGGTTGCGATCTTTGAGGTGATTTTTTTCTCATTAACTTAGTTAGAAAAACATCAAAATAATGGACAAGCAAAGCACAGACAAATGGACGCAATCTACACGCCGACAGGGAAAATTAGAAAAAACTTCAAGATAAGCGATCATGTCAAGAGAGAAGATAATCAAAAAATGTGTGCAAATGGAGACCAAACAATTATGCACAACATTAGATTACATTCCATCTTGATAGAGAAAGATTTTAAGCAATTGTAGAGAAACCCTAATAGCTCTATTCTTTTTAAAGCATACACTGACAATCAGCAGGGATTTCTTAAGAAATTACAAACTACTCTTTGATTTGAATTATTTATAGGACATCTTAGTTGAGATCACGATCAATCGAGTAAAATAGTCCTTCAGTCCTTTAATCATTACGACCAGGGATTAAGTGCCTAAAGACAAACAAAGACAATTTATAAATACTACTTTGATTGTCTAACAATAGTCTAGGAAAATCTAATTTATGAATATAGTCATTATTCTTTGAACAAAACTTCATATTTTATCGGTGCTATTAGGTTGGAAACAAGTAAAGATATCTCAGCAATGAATGTTATTAATTATTTCAAACAAATTACTTCCATGTTATTTTTAAATCATCATAAGAAAGTTTTAATGCAATCCCTGAAACAAACAAAAAATGATACCTGTAACATTATTATTTGTGGGGTATGTAATTTTCCGTTGCTGATATTCAGGGTTAAATTTAGCCAGTCTCTGTCGGTATATAAGCTCCTTGAGCAAATGGTTTAATATTTCCTCTAATTAACAATCGACTATATTATTTAGAATATGGATAGCAGTGAAATCCTGAACACACATCCCCTTCTGTTTGAGATCACCGGCCGGATTCGCCTTAATCCTAGTGATGATGTTTAAAATGATATCCGAACTTGGTGCCTATCATTCAGTGCGATAGGCTAGACTACTGAATCACGATAACGGACAAACAGTGGGAAAAGTATGATATTCACTATTATATGCAACAATTTATATTCTTCCGCTTTTTAATTGTAAATATTTGAAGAAACTTGGTTATTTTTTATTGGAATGTCAATTCCTACTGAAAAAATTATGTCCGATCTTCATAATGACGCCACGTACACATTAAAAACTTTATTGTCATAATCTTAGTTCAACAAAATATTTCTCGCTTAGTCTTTTAGCATGAGCGATTTGGAATTTCGTATATAAGTATTCGTTTTCAATTACTTACAGATCAAAATTTGAGAAATTGACATAATTTGTTGAGTTTCCCCATGAGGCAATAAATAAACACCCATATTTAAAAATTCACTAGTTACATTATTTTCCCCCTAAAAATAATTACATTGAATAAATTTGAACTTACACTTTTAAAATGATAATCAATATTGCGTATAATTTCCACATGTCTTGGTAGAACACGTTGAAGCATATCTAATGGCCAATACTTCAAACATTCTACTTGTGATACATGATTTGTATGAGTAAATACACGTGAACATATATCCCATGCCTTTTAGAGTAAAATAGATGAAAAGACTTAGTACAGATAAATGTAATATAGCATGTAATTTCGTCATGTTAATAGATAACAATAAAACAAGAGCAGGAATTCATTTTATTTCACGATTCCTAATCCACTACTTACAACCTAAACATACATACTTTATGCAAGTAATATCATTTCTTCTTTCTATGACAGTAGTTATTATTAATTCATACTTTTCATCTGATCTATACTAATTTAAACGTTATATTATGCTTTAAGGATTAAATAGCTAGAACATAAATACTTTTTCTAAATGCCCCAATTTATTCATTCTAGAATATTCGAATATTCAACAAAGAAATATTCTTATTATTTAACGTATGAACATCACTTATAGATCTTCGATATTTATTACTCTCCACATGAATCTCTCAGGGGCGGCTTGCTTGAATAACTGGGCTACCTGTTCCTTTCATCTAGACATTTCAACAAGTTATCTGTTTCCTTGTTTGTTTTAACAGATCATGATGTTAATTAATTGCATAACATATCCAGGTGCATTTGTGAAGAGTTTACAACCTTTCACTGTACAAGTTGGTTGGAAATGTGCACTGAAAAGGATGAATATTATTCAGATGTCGACTTCTGAAATGTGAATAACTAACTAGAGATCACTCAATATTTATCGTCAATATCGATCAAAAGATTTTTAGATTAAAGATAGTCTTGAGATTATGCTGATTTCTTTGAGTTAGACAGTTTTAACCAGAATTTGTTTTATAAAAAATTATATAAGACTGATAGTGCATTTAAAGTATAATAGTTAGTTTCACAAAACTGACATTATTCAGACAACCGAAAAGCACTGGATAGTTGTTTCGTCCTAGCATAGGACACCTTCACAGTCAGTATCCATGATCCCACCATGAATCGAACCCATGACTTTCAGGTTCCAAGGTAAGGGCAGAAATTTCAAACTACTAATACGGTATCTAATAGTTTACGTGACTGACCATAAATTTCTAAATACATGTATGATATAGATTTTTATTTAAAATACTTAAATTGATTATCAAACTTTCATTACTTACATCAATCCAATCCATACACTCTATATCAACTAGAATTCTCAGTAGTTCAGGAATAGCTAATGCTGGATGTGTATCATTGATATGAATTACAACTTTATTTGGTAATTCAAATAGTTCATAAGTTGGATAAGATGATTTAAACTGATACAGTATATCCTTTTCAGTTTAAATAAAAAATAAAACAAAATAACAATGAGAATTTTACATTAATTATTCAAACAAAAATATAAATTATATAATAAAGTTAGGATTCACATCATGAATGCTTACAAACCATATATTCTTTTTCAGTGATGTGATTTTGGATGACTCATTTAATCCAAGAAAACTTTATTATAAAACACCGAACTTTGTGAATTCGGTTTGACGTAGGGTCATGAATACTCGACGTAAGGAATTCATCAGTATTGGGTTGTGGGGATTATTAAGTTTTCGATGGAGATCATGAACTCATTGATGCTAGACCACCATTGAAAACTTGGAGCCACTGGACAGACGTCTTGTTCCAGAATGGGGCTCCATCCACGATCCCTCAGGCGAGACTCGAACTCATAGCCTTCGATCTCGCGTGTGAAGTTCAACCGTGTCTGCTGTGAAGCAGTTGCTCACTGATGACAGTGGTGGACGATCGCGCAATGTCGTGGATTGGCTGAAGTTGAACATTAACACCATTGGGTGCATGCTCAGTGGTCTAGAGGTTAAGCGTTCGCGCGCGAGACCTAAGGCCGTGTATTCGAATCCCACGTGAAGGATCGTGGAAGTCCCATACTGGGACGAAACAGCCGCTCGGTGCTTCTAGGTCTTAAATGTTGGTTTAACATTGTTCCATTCATGATATTAATCTATACTCAACAATCTTTACAACCCTATACTGATTATAATAAAAAAATTTCATTATGCTATAAACATAAAAACATTTTTTAGTTTATATTTTACTCAGTATGAAATTCATAAAGTAAATGAATTGAGCATTTTTTTAAGATACAGTAATACAATTTTCTTTCACTATTTAGTAGTATGAGTGGCACTTAATTAATACGAATACGATGAAATTATTTAACATTATAACAAAAATACATAACACCATAGTTTCACCATGTTTTTTGTGTGGTTAGATGTGAGTATTTACTTTTGAACTTGATCATATTATTTATATATCTTTCTCTGTTGAAACTAAAAGTACCCTCGTTATTCTCCGTCCGCGCCGCCCCCCCAAACCCATAAAACTGTTTGAACAATTGTTTATTCATTGTGTTTAAGAAAATGATGGTTGGAGGTAGTCAAGAAAAAACCTTGGACCTAGGTTTCGTGCACGTGGTGTCAAGTCACTTAGACCAGTGACTACATTGCAACTTGGTTGATAGAATTCGATCTGCACTAAGAATGACCTGACACACGTAACATTGATCACTACCTAGTGATCAAGCAATTGTAAATTGTGTTTGATGTTTATGTTAAGGTGATCTAATTTTCAAATCAATTAGTCGCAGTTATTATTGAATGACTAAAGTAGATCATATTGTATATAACCACAGATGAAATCATTGATGATAGATAAACATTTCAGCTTACTTGCAATGTAGCGGATACAAGAAAGTATTCCTGTTTTAATTGTAATTCTTTACCTTCGAATGCACTTTCAATTGGATAAAGAACACGAGAAATATTTTCAGCTTCATTACGACCAAGTATAGCCTGATTGTTAAGATTTTTAAAAAGCGAAGAGAAGCATCACATTGCATATGCTAGTTTATTTTTTAAATTAGGCTTTATTATTATAAACACATTGCAAATTAAAGACCTTATGAAAAGTAAATACATGACAAAATGTGTTATTTACCAAGGGTAAAAACAATAAAACAGAGCAAGCCTAAATTGACAAAGCTATACATGAATTTATGCTGTTTTCTGTAGATTCATTGTGGCAAAACAGTTTACTGTTCAATGTTACATTGATGCCACAAAAATGGATGATAACGAAGAATTTTGATTGGCTGCATAAATAATGAAGAAAAAGATATAAGTTACGAGAGAATGTGAACAGCTCCTTATTTACCGTGGTTACATTCATTCATAAATATAAAAGTAAGGGAAAACAAAAAAGAGATGTGTCATTTTGTGGTAAAATGATAACTTCAACAATACAGAATTTATTTACAGAAATTGAAGTAGCCTATGTCAAAGTAATAACTAATTACCGTAGAGTGTATATAGGTTGACAAGCGAAAATATTTAAAAGTTTAAACTGTCCTCTTATTCGAAAAATGGATAAGGTAGAATGAAAGATTCGTAACGTATACTTGGTACAACTTAGTCATTGAAACGTTGTATTACGTATGCCCAACTACCGCTTGCCTTTATGAACGATGTTATCTGGTGTATACGTTGGTTAAAAATCAAGGGCAACTTAACCAAGACGTGGCATCAATCAATGAAATCAGTGTCAATTAGAGTAGGCCAAGTAGGTAGGTGATTACCAACTGATTGGGTTCCGCTAGATTTTCTTAACCAAAGGTAAGGGACTTTGGGTATTAAGGCTCAGAATCTTTCGCAATGCAGCCGGTGCATTCACTCCTTGCCTTCCCTCAAATCTTGACTTTCTAAATCATATTAAATTTATTTTTATTCCACAAACCCAAATATTATTTTTGAACTATATCCGTTTTCCTTATTCTTTTCTACTACCACTGATAATGTTACTACTTCTACTACTCCGGCAGCTAGCTGTGCCAATGTGGTGTGTCAACGTGAACAGATGCATATATGTATCAGACTGTACGTTGCATACAACTCAGTGATTTAAATGCTGGTATAAGGCAGATCTTAATATCAGAATTTCGAATTACAATTTTTCAAGACACATGTTTGATGGGTCAAATAATTTTGCAAACTAAGAGACGTGTCTGTTTTGTTTACTTTATTTGACATAAGATAATAACAGGCCAGGAAATTCTTCAAGAACACTAGGTAGGCGTTTGAAAATGTAGCATTTAATCTTAAATAATCGATGTTTTCGTACAATCACTAAAACGAAAGACTTCTTCAAGCGTTAGTTGAATGCTACTTAGTATTGTAGTCAAACTGTTTTTGTTCGAATACAAAGAAGTCAGGATAATCGCTCATCAAATATCAAACACCTAATATACCTGAAATTCATTTTTGACAATTACTTGATTATAAAAATGTATTTCAATCGACTTATTTCTATTTGAAAGATCAAAATTATCAAAACAATAAGGCTTATTCAGGGTTAAACAAATCAATTTGAAATAAAAATGATTGATACAATTAAATTCAGTAACTGTATGATAATCGTAAACATACCATCCAATTAGTATATTACTAAGCTACGTAAGACAAGCATAAATAAACTCCATATTTTTGCCATTGTAATACAATAATTATGAACTTATAACTGTAGAGTCAGTCAGTCAACCTGATGATGAAGTTATTATGAAAATAACCCTTCCCTAAATAATATTCTTTGTGTTTAAATAAATTAAGTGTTACTTTTTTCTATTTTCTTTTATTCCTAAATAATCAAATGGTGTTAATTGGAACCAGAATAATTTTACTGCTAATACGGTGTAAAATAATGGATTTGCAAAAAATTTAAACCAAGCGGCTATTGAATAAGCAAACTGTTCTGAAAAAGCTAGTAACCGAAATATGCTAAAAACATTAAAATGATGTCGTTCAAAAAATAAAATAAATTATATGAACCAAAGCTATTAGTGTACAATACATTTAGTCTAATATCATGGACTGAATTTAGCTACGTGAACATTTATTTCATCCTAGTATTGAGCTCCTCAGTAGCGTCCACTTAGGATTTCACTAAGGCTGGAATTTGGAGTTTCCGGGCCTTATTATGAAGGGATTATCTTTGAACTAATGAACTGGTGCTTAGTCGTTGACATCTTTCATTTCAGATAATTCACAACACTGTGAGACCATTAGTCATTGTTATTGTAGATGACTCTATTAACTCCGATAATGGTTGAGTCTTATCGGTAAAAACTTCTCTCCAGAATTTCGGTAATCTATCCAGAAGTTAGCCACAAATGAGAAGTGAATTTCAGTAAACTCATAAAATGTAAACAATAAATCAAAATTGTTCTTCTGTTAACTTACATTTATATAGTCATTGTTATGAATAATTTTCGTATCAAAGTATTTCCTGCCCTTAGCGGCCCATAATCTAAGCGTATTACATGTCTGATTACGATATCCAGGAACAGGAACTTCATAAGGTAGGGCACATATTGTTTCTGTGTCAACCCATTTACATTGATCTAAATGATTACGTATAACTCTACCGTAAAAGTGAACTATGCGAATGAATTCAGGGCGTTCTTTCTCCCAGGGATTACCATAAAGTAGCCACTCATCTGGTTCTTCAACCTGTAATTTTAAAAGAAGTGGGCCAATTGATTATAACATTCTAAAATATAATGAGATATTTGAAAAAGCAGTTTAAAAAATAGGTTTACTTCTAAAATTCTTACCTGCCATCCATCTTTTATCATCTGATGAAAAGCGCCATTTTCATAACGTATTCCGTAACCATAAGCTGCTAAACCAATTGTAGCCATTGAGTCAAGAAAACATGCAGCCAGACGACCCAAACCACCATTCCCAAGTCCTGCGTCGCATTCCATTTCTTCTAATTCTTCAATATCCAAACCAAGCTAGAATAAATGAGCGATCATTACTGAAATAAAAAGTCATTGAATTTTCGCGCAGTAATTACCATTAGGTTAAAAAATTGCTCATATTTGATGTACCATATTACGAAAGTTCAAAGATACCAAAACACTAGAATGTTCTACCCTATCGAGCACTTCAGTTGCCTTATGTACACACTTTGTTATCATACAAAGAACTCACTACACCATTACCATTAAATTTCTAACAAGATTCATTTAAATATCAACTTCGTAATGATTTAATAAACATACATAATGCCTATACAAATAATCAGATTGTAAGGCACTAAATGAATGTAAACGTTTCTGCTATTTACCTCTAATAAGAAAAACAGGATCGGGATTATTATTATTATTAATGGTGATATTTGTTAAGTTAGTGGAATGAGCTAATATGTAGTTTTTATAGACAACTGAAAGTTAAACGTTTATTACTTGTGCGTGAGACCGAAGGTCCTGGGTTCTAGTCCCGTGTGAGGGATGGTGGATGAACGCTATTGAGGTGTGTTAAACCAGAACGAAACGGCCGTCCAGTGCTTCCAGGTTTTCAATGATGGTCTACCATTGTTTCATTCAGGATATCATTTCAAACTTGTGTCATACTTTACTGACAACCGAGAGAAGTTCAGTTAACGAAGACTGTAGTTTGCATTTGCGTGGTTAGGTTGGTGACACAAATATCCAAAACGGACTATTATAGTGATCAAGGATATCAAGTGTGCTCTAGCTTCATGTTGTGATTCTATCTAGCATACTGTAATGACTTTTTGTATTTATGCAGAGCACCAAAGATAAAAAATTCAGAACCAAAAGTTGGATAAACCTACTCTCTTGAAACAAAGTGGAAAATAGAGATCGGTTACGCAACCATTTAGCTTAAACTGTTTACGTTGGAATAAATACCAAACATAGTAACCACTCGTAAGTAGGCAGTCTGATCATCTATAAAAAGTGAAACTTTGTAAGCAAGTCAGATGCTCAGTTTACTGTTAACCATATCAACTAACATGTACCTGATAAGCTTACTTAACTAAACTAGTGCATGCTTATTCAACAACACCAATGCCAAATTCAAAATTGTCTAAATAAACGACAAACTAGGAATGATGATAAACCTGTCCGTCTAAGAATATATATTTCTAAATCAACTCTAAGAAATTACAAACATGCTTTCAGAATTCAACAAGTTGAGAATATTGAATATAACATGTTGGTGTGTTTCTCTGGTTTTCTACTATAAATGTAATGAGATTATTTTCACTCATAAAGGCTTGGATCTTTTACTTGTTAGTGTTATGAACTGAAATTGATCAGTTTCTTTGATACAAGTGTACCGCTAGCTGAGTGTCTCGATAGGTATTGGGTTCGAGTCCCGGTATGAAAATCAACATGGATTCAAGCTCAGCAAGCTGATGTGCCTCGAACAGTACGAAACGTTCATTCTGAATTCCATTGTAAGCTACCATCGAAATTTCGCTTAAATATGATATTACAATGTAAATACATATAACAAAGTTTATGAAGGATATTTTTATTATCTCATTTAGTGACAACCTTTACAATCCCTGTGAGGTACTTTCATATACAGTAATACTCCATTGTTTCCGGGCTTTTCATGTTGGCCTAGCTTTAATCGACTTATGAATTCAACTATCAAATTACTACAATCTCTACAAGACCCCATTTCCGATTTATTTTTGTTTACGATGATCCAGTAGAGTATTTTGCTACTTTTGACCTCAATCAAAATGAGGTCTAACTTGAAAATCATTAAATGAATTAATCTCTCTTTAAAAACAAAAAATAAATATTAGACCGAACGATTGTTTTCAATGTATGCTCATTTCTCTTTCTTTCAATAATAATAGTGCTGAAGATTCAGACTGCCTGGTTGGGTTCCGCGTGACTATCGTAACCAATGGTTGGAGACTGTGGGTGACATGGTTCTGAATCGATCACAATGGCGTAGGTGTATACACTCTCTGTCTTCCTTAAATTAAGAGATTAAAATCACTTCAAATCTTTCTTTCTAGGAACTAATTCTTTCTTCCTGTACTATCTCCTTATACACAATCTTTCTTCTATATATTACCACCACTGAATTAACTACTTCTATGAATCCGGTGTTCATCTTGTTGTGCTAATGCGGTATGGCAACTTGGACCGATGCATATACGTGCCTGGTCCTACGTTGCAGCTGACTGACTGACTGACGAATAGTGCTGATCCCATTAAACTTGTCTAATTTTACTGTTGTTAATGTCTCATTTGTACATAAATAGCGCATAGAATAAGTTTTCGGTTTTCCTACACATCTGACATATTAATTTATGTGAAACAATCCTTTGTGTCAAAGACTTAAACATATAATAAATTAAATTATCTTTAGACCTGTTAAACTACACATTAATCTTCGGTCAAATTCATCAAGACATATTTGTTTGAAAGACCTATAGTAAAATTGTACATGTTTATAATACGTTTCCAATAAATAGTATGAAAGAAATCGGTTAACATGAATATTGATTTTATTAATTTATAAAAATGACAAAAACGATGAATGAAACCCAGCAAACACTGGACAACTGTTTCACATTGTGTGACTAGTTATACCGATGAGTAAATTGTTCATGATTCAACTATCCATATTTACCAGTTTCAGTGAATCCACGTTATAGACTGACCATCACTCACATTAATTTTAGGTACATCTAGATTGAAAGCTTAAGGCTCTAAAAGTTTAATTTTGAATATCAATAAAACTACAGGAACAGCTAACTTAATCAGACATGCTATCACAAAGTATGACCAGGATACATCATGATTACTACTGATTAAAGAGAGTCTAGAAGTGGGACATGATTGTGGTTCGTTTTTGGAGTTTACAGAGATTTATGACTAATTCAAGATGGGTTTCAAAGGTTTTAGTAAAAAGTCATAACTGATGGAATTCAGACATATCATGTGTGAGACAAATATCACCATAAACATTAAATACTCGACGCGCTATTTTACGAAATGATGAAAATTGAAAATGTAGGCCGTTCGTTCCTGACTAAGTGATCTATAAACCAAATCCCGCCATGGCACCTGAAAGTTATGAACTCGATTCCTGGTGAAGTTGTACGGAAGCAATTTTGTAAAGTTCCGTATAAAAATCACAAAGATGTATAGGGCTTCCTGGTTTCCAATAATATTCCAACCAATGTCAATCTGCGAATAGTTTCTACAAATTATACTAGCCTCCACAAATCCTTCAGCTTAAACATGCATTGTACTTTGCAATATATTGAAACAGTTAGGTGGTCTAACCTCAAGAAAAATGGTCACACAAAATAACGGTCCTGATAAAATTAGCCAACGACATAAAAATGGAATTTACGTACCTAAGTTTCCAAACTTTCGAAGTTGAAATCATCTGAAATATGTAGTAAAGGCTTAAGTAGCATTGTTATAAGAAAGCTATTGTTGGCTTTCTACATACAGCTTTTCACTTTAAGGATTAAAATTAAGATTAATCTAAATATTCCACCTACATTATGTTCATTTATATTAGCTATTTCATTCTTAAAAATAGATTCTTTTGAGGCAATGTAGTACGAAAAGCCTAATTATTTTTAAGATAAGCATCATTACAATCGGGATGCACTTAAAGTTTTAATTGTAAGTATACACTATAGAATATGTATGGAGTTTCACTGGCACCTGGATATCAAAACACAAAGCATTCTGGTAGTGAATTTACTTTCGTGAAATAAGTCATGTTTCTATGCCTGTTACTCACTTGATACATTGCTTCATCCAGAGCTTCTGCTGTGTCTACGTTAAGCATTGTATTCTTAAGTGTACGACCCATAAAAAATTCCATGGATAAAAAGTAGATCATCTAAAATATAGAAGTTGATTATACTTTTTTAGTACAGGTTCACAAATTAAAAATTTCTCTAAATATATATATATATATATATATATATATATATACAAAAGAACTAATTAGCATGATCAGTGACGGAAAAAACTATATGCAAGTGGATATGTCTCTCAAGATTTACAGAGTATAAACTATAAAATCCAGTTTACTATCAATCTGCTTACTATTTAATTTATAAATACAAGCCATTATAAAGTTTATTTAGTCGGCATTCCAATTGATATATGGTTTAATTCACATAAACTTCTGTATTTAATATTTTAGACTAATATGTTAAGACCAGAATAAAATATGTAGTTAAAATGTATTATTGAATCAATAATATACTCTTTCACATCATAGTTGTGATTTAAATGCAACAATTCTCTGATTATACTTACCGAGTGACTTTTAGGAAGTAAACATGTACATACTCCATTTATTTTGAGAATTACAATTCGTTTTCCAAAAAATATTATAAAATGGCTAAAAATACTTTCAGCTCTTCACTTACTTATTTTACTTTTACTTTTATTAATCAAATAAACCAATCAGAAGGTCATAAAACTAAGTATCATTATTGAGGATACTAATCTATAAAAGGAATTTACAAAATAAAGCGCCTTATCAAATTTGTTAGTATACAACCTGAAATATGATTTCTGAATTCCGATATCAGTTACGGAAAAAGATCAAAACATAAAACCAAGCAACAATAGGTTATTTGTCCCGAGAGCTCATTTACCAACAAAAGCTAATCACCTTAGTCCTTAGATTCTAAAGAAATCAACCTTGTTTTCATGAGTCTAATCCTGCAAAAGCATTTAAAATACTTTCACGTGTCAGAAATAAAAGAACTAATTGACCGTTCTTTTAGTTCTACTGATAGATCAGTTCATAAACATATTAGAAAATAAAAAGAGACAATCCTAGTTTGAAGTGGTTATTATTCAAAATTACCAAACATTCAAAGCGATAAGGCTATCCCTAACTACAGCTAAAAACGTATCTAAAAAGCGTCTTGGATTTTAATTAGAATGACAGTTGCACACCCTGTCATTTACTTCACTTGTTTAATCAAGGCCATAAATTTGGAATGTGTACAATGAAATTAATAGAGTCCTGTTCTATATTGACTCAATGTTGACCTTGACAAAATTATTCCGTTTCGACAAACTGAACTGATAAAAAATGTATAGTTATCTAGATTACACTATTTTTCACACTCATTTTGCATAATATGCATTTATTACTGAACTAACACATCAATACTAACTTCCTGTACCAGTTATAATTTAGTGATTGTATCCACATGATCATGTTGTTCTCTGAATGATGATTAGAAACGTTTAATTGTATAAATTAAAAACCTATGAATTCACTAACACTAAAATATGGACATTTGTCACAACGTATGTAGACGGTCAAACTGTATTTCATTAATAGTAACTCAAAACTGCAAATATCCCAGTTACATGAGATTATTCAGCATGTATAATTTTGTATAAAAATATGATATTCTTAAATTAGGCCTGACCACATCTCAATGGATATATGTAATTCCTAAACTTGTAGTTTTTTCAAAATTATCAATGAAGTACATCATAATTTCAAAGTTTCTAAGACATCCCTAACCTACACAAATCGCTTAAACAATGAGAAAATAACAACCAAAGATTAAAAAACGCAAATCCGTCGATAGGAAATATAGCTTCTTAAATAATTATAGATGAATACTAGCATTATTGTAAAGAGCACCTAGTTAGTTATCGTAAGCTTATGAGCTGAAATTTGTTGACCAAAGCTTCCACACCGTGGATTAGCTTAGTGAAAAATTAACAGAATGAAGAAGAGAGTAGAGAAAACAAGTTTCATTGCAGAAAAAACTAAACACAAATACTTAGTTCAGAAGGGACAAATAAAACTGGACGATGAAGCGTCAATTGACAATAAACTGGAAATTTATACGAAGACGAATAATGAATGTAACTGTTGTGTTGAGGTTGATGCCGCCCCACATTACCAGTCTTTAACCACAGGTCATCAAACAGATTTTAACTAGGAAGTATACTACCATTGAGACGTACCAGATTAAGTCAATGACACGATGGACTGATATTATGTCTTAATCTTCCCACCTCTAGAGCTTTTAGACCCATTACTATCCTAGTTAGGATCTTGACGCGGATTCAGAAAGCCCAATTGTATTTTGTCAAATTATGTTACTTTTGATGCACATGAGATGCCCGTCTGCCTAATAAAAGGTTAGTATAGTGAGATCAAGGCCACTCCGTACTATTTTGTGACTGTAAAATATGTGCTGTAAAAGTAGAGAACATGCATAAGATGCATGTTTTTGAAGCATTGCTCACAATTATGGTGAGAGATAAAAATAGTGGATCGGTTGGTGAGGTCATGATTATTCGTCAACAGAGATGGTCGGAACATGTATTACATATGACCAACCATTGACTACCTCGAAGGGCGGTGTTTGCTGGTGTATGAGTAATTTATTTAATAGGTAGTAGTGTCCAAAATAAAATGTGCCATGAATATATGAGTTCATCAAACGTTGGCAGAGTCATGTTGGTAGATCCAAAACACTTGGCTGGGGTCAGAGCGATCTGTTGTTGGTGTTGTGTGACATGATTAGGAATCAGCTAAAAATGGTGCATATACATCCACTTGTTATCTTTCTCTAGATCTTGAATTCACCTATTCCCGAACAAATGTTTCTGTTAGCGGGACATAGGTTGGGTTAAAGCATGCACAATGCACGATTGCTTTGGTGCACGCTGAATGGCTAATTCTTGTCCAATCAGCGCTAGTCGATACTTGGAGAATACTCTAGAAATATTCTCATGTAAAAACTATAAATATACTAACGTTTTTCTTATTGTGCTTCTTACTTCCATCTAACCTTGTTATTTAGAATATAATCTCTTTCTTGTTCAACCGTGTTCTGGTTTGGGGACTTGTCGAGTGAATTGGTGTCCGAGAATACTAAGCAATATGAATAGCTGGGTTATAACCCTAAGAGAGAATTATAACAGTTTCCTTATTTTCTTCTTTGGAACCAGGTGCTCAATTTTTAGTCTTCCATACCATCAAACCTGCCGTATTATTTAGATTCCTTAGCTATTCAATTTAGTAATTTCATCTTAGTTTGCTGATCTGTGACAAATCGGATCAAGGTACATGTGATTGACAGACGTGTGGAGCATATATATTTGGTGCCCCCTTGTACCAATATTTATGTGTTCAAATAAATAAATAAAATAAATAAATGATTGACCGACTAAAATACCATATTTTATAATCATGAAGTGCAGCAAAGTAAACTGTAGTGAGGCACACTCTCCTCTTGATAACAAAAACAGACATCTTGCCCGCACGATATCCAGAAATAGGGTGTTAGTGGTAAAAAGCTTTTAAGAATGCGATCATTTACATTTCTCTTTGAATTTTAGTAAGGGGTAAATGCAAAAACACGTCCAAGATACTGGATTAGACGTATTGCGTAAGGTCGTTTCAAAGTATATTACGCTTCATAATTGTTATAGTATTAAAAGCGTTCATTTCTTTAACATAACTACTAAGCAAGTTTGTGCCCCACGCATACTTTAAGTTAACATGATAATCCCCAAAAGGGAAAACTGGCCAGTTCCAGTTTACGTACGAGCCTGTACCTGTGGTCTGGTCTCACGAGGATCTTGAGGTTACAGCGAGTCATATGTTTAGGACCACGGCCTACTGATACGATGTTGCAGCTAGAGGGTTTAGAACCCTCACCAAGTTAGATATCACGCTCATTATAGTATACACAACCTTAGTGAAAACAAAGCTTAAAAACTGCGTTCAGGCTGCAAGCCGCTGTTTAACAGGTGACTTGGATATCGCGAAAAAAGTACTAAAGGCAGCTACGCGTGAAATTCTGGAACCTAGGGGTTTACCATACAACGAATGAATTGGAAAGTTGGACCTCTTTACTCTGTCCTATTGCAGATTAACAGGTGATCTGATTTAGATGTATAGGACACTAAGGAATGATTTTAGACCCCATATATCTTCTTATTTCCTCCACACAAGACCAGGACATATCAGAGGATATAGCAGGCGAGTAGAAAAGCCAAGAACGAACAAAATACTCATGTCATACGGGTTTTCATACCGAATCATCTATTCTTGGAACCTATTAGCCGAACCAGGGTTGTCTGCACCTTCAATTGACTCATTCAAGAGAAGAGTAGACGCATACAGAAGCATACTAGGAAAGAAATAACATAGATTGTAGGCCTTCTGTCTTTACTACACAAATCTGAATTTGAAAGGCAAAGTGAATTATAGATACTATTTAAAAGTGTGTTTAGTTGAAACCTTAAACTAAGGCTTCACTATAATAATAATCTACAAAAGAAAGAGCAAGATGTGTCTGGGGTGGAGTTTATTATTTATTGATCAGAATTGCATATTTGTTTGCCTGAACTTAATGTTGACATGCATATCCCACTCCTAATAGTGATAATTTAAGTTACACTCACTAACACACTGAAAATGAGTTACGAGAAAAATATGCATTGTAGCTGGCACTTCCAGAGCCATTTAGTGAGAATATTTGGATGCTAGTAAAACATATTCATTACAAATTTAATACTATTTTATCCTGAAATTCAGGACTAGAAGCAGCGCTTTCACTGCCTAATCAACCTTTTGACTAACAGCACTTTGAAATATAACACAGCTGCGCACTTTGATTCTTACATATGATATTTTACCAAACAACTACCAAAAATACGATCTTAAAAATCCTCACTAGGCTAAATTATTGATGACATTGAGATTTTTTTGGCAAAAAAACATATATATACATAATTTTGAACTCGAAGAACTAGGTGGAGATGATTACTGAATAATCACATGACACGAGCGTATTTATTTAAGGATACCCTCGCATATATGTATCCCTACTCGACAGCATGTCTAAATAGCTTCACAGAACACAGGTAAATAAAACCTTACCTTTGGATCTTCTGTAGCATAAACCTCCTGTGTTTTTATCCAACGAGAACATAATTGTTCCCAGACAGTCCTAGCCAGAGCTACGTAAAAATCACGCATTGTAGCAATGTTACGATCCTTGACGACATAAAAATGCAAGTTTCTGTTGAATGAATCCCTCAGATTTTTTGCATCCTGAACTATACTTAATTCTTTAAACGATGAACAACGCCTGCTATTCATATTGGTGACGAAATCCGATTGGAGACTAAATAGTGGCGCAGCCAAAAAATCTTGAATCTAAGCGTTCAAACAAAATAAAATAAGTATTTGTGATACGTGAACTTCAACAAACAACTATTTGCAGTGCTTCTTGAAAACAAAAATTACTAATAAAAGGCTATTACGGTGGATATTTTATCATTTTCACTGGTTTTGTAAACCTATTTTTCTTGTGATTTGAATAATAGTCTCACGTTTGATATTGATTCCGAAACCATCTTTTATATGCAAAGAAAAAGAAAACAAGAAGAAAGGTGAGATTTTGAATCAAAGTGGTGTTGTCGATCTTGTGTGATCGATTTTCGAGAAAGCAGTTCTATCTTTTGAGCTACCGATCAATTCATGAATGTACGAGATGAGGCAACGATCGAGAGTGGTTTTCTCACTAAATCTCCGACAGTCACAAACTTGACGTCAATCGTTTCCTTTCTTTTAGATCATCAGCGAGGAAGATACACAAGGGCTGTTTGACGATAGAATATTTCCCAAGTCTTTTATGTGGTGGAACTCGTTTTCGGCCAACCTCAGCTTTTTCAGAGACAATAAGGGAATTTTCGAAAACCCTAATAGTCCTGGAGTCGTGATGTGTTGTGTAGCAACGCGGTTCACGCACACTGACTTTGGTCGACATTCGTAAGTTCGTGGTACCTGTTTAGTTTCGTTGAATGTACTGATCAATTTCATGCTTAGTCGGGGATAATCTACAGTTCAAAAAGCATGTCCCACAAACAAAAAACTTAGCGTTTCCATCTATCAACCTCCATCTGCTTGGTTTGAAGAATAGATTATGGTGTTGTAACAGGTCTTTTCCTTACTTACTTACTTACGCCTGTTACTCCTCGTGAAGGAGCATAGGCCGCTCACCAGCATTCTCCATCCAACCCTGTCCTGGGCGATCCTTTCAAGCTCTTTCCAGTTCTTATTCATCTTTTTCATATCTGCTTCTATTTCCCGACGTAATGTGTTCTTTGGCCTTCCTCTTTTCCGCTTCCCTTCAGGATTCCAAGTTAGCGCTTGTCTCGTAATGCAGTTTGATGATTTCCTCAATGTATGTCCTATCCATTTCCATCGTCTTTTCCTAATTTCCTCTTCAGCTGGAAGCTGGTTGGTTCTCTCCCACAAAAGGCTGTTGCTGATGGTATCCGGCCAATGGATGTTGAGTATCATGCGTAGACAGCTATTAATAAATACCTGTACCTTCTTGATGGTGGTTGTTGTAGTTCTCCAAGTTTCAGCTCCATACAGTAGAACTGCCTTGACGTTCGTATTGAAGATTCTGACTTTGATATTGGTTGAAAGTTGTTTTGAGTTCCATATGTTCTTCAGTTGAAGGAATGCCGCTCTAGCTTTGCCAATCCTCGCCTTGACGTCTGCATCTGAACCTCCTTGTTTATCGACGATGCTTCCCAGGTATGTGAAGGATTCCACGTCTTCCAGAGTTTCGCCATCAAGAGTGATTGGATTGCTGTTCTCCGTGTTGTGTTTGAGGACCTTGGTTTTCCCTTTGTGTATGTTGAGGCCTACTGATGCAGAGACTGCTGCTATGCTGGCTGTCTTTATCTGCATTTGTTCGTGTGTATGTGATAGGAGGGCTAGGTCATCTGCGAAGTCCAAGTCGTCTAATTAGTTCTGAGCTGTCCATTGTATGCCGTGTTTTCCTTCAGATGTCGAGGTCTTCATAATCCAGTCGACCACCAGAAGAAACAGGAAGGGAGAGAGTAGACAGCTTTGTCTTATTCCGGTCCTTACTTGGAATGCGTCTGTCAGCTGTCCTCCATGCACCACTTTGCACTGTAGTCCATCGTATGAGTTCCGGATAATGTCGACAATCTTCTCAGGAACTCCGTAGTGTCGAAGAAGTTTCCATAACGTCCTCCTATCTACACTGTCAAATGCCTTCTCATAATCAATGAAGTTGATGTAGAGTGACGAGTTCCACTCAACTGATTGTTCGACGATGATCCGTAGTGTCGTAATCTGGTCTGTGCACGACCGGTCCTTACGGAATCCAGCTTGTTGATCTCGAAGTTGAGCGTCAACTGCGTCTTTCATCCTGTTCAGTAACACTCTGTTGAAGACTTTACCCGGTATTGACAGTAGTGTAATGCCTCTGTAGTTTTCACACTTGCTCAGATCTCTTTTCTTTGGAATCTTGATGAGGTGTCCTTCTTTCCAATCCATCGGCACTTGTTCCTCCTCCCAAATCTTCTTGAATAGAAGATGAAGCATGCTTGTAGTTACTTCGATGTCTGACTTCAACGCTTTCCGGTGAATGATATATGAACATCCACAGCAACGAAAATCTACTGAACGGATTTGAGTAAACCCACATTAAGTTGAATATATATCTTATCATATGGGACGATTGGTTTCCAACTTGTCACCTTTAAATTGAAACAATTAGTTCCGTCTGTTCGTCTAGTTAGTTGAACAAAACTTGGACGGAACTTTAAAAAGAGGGGTACACAGAATGTCTGCAGCAGGACAATGTACTCATTTCTACGGTACAGTTCAAATGAAATACAAAAGGAACTTCATTAAGATCCTGACGCATGGTTCCAGAATGATTTGTGGAGATGAATTGGTTAATATTCGTAACTTACTTAGTAATAATGGGTTCCCTATGAAATTCATCGACAAACTCATGAAGGGAATGAAAAGAAGGACAAAGAAAGTATTGTTCGTAAAGTTACAATTTGTAAATGATACTACTGTAAAATCGTGACTCAGAGACTAGGAAAAGCTGCACAAAAAACATTTAATACAGCCAAAGTGAATGCTATCTTCTACAACTACCCCAAAATCAGAACGACCGATAAAGGCAGACTGCCTGAATTCGCCAAATCAATGTGTACCTATCGGTTCAACTGCTCTTGTGGAACTAGTTATATAGGGCGTACAATTCGGCAAATTCGTCATCGTATAACAGAGTACCATCTGTTGTGGTTGGGCAAAGGACAGATAAGACTGATTAAAAATTATGTTCTCGCTCACTTGGTTGACACAAGTTATCAAGTTAAACTGAATCAAGATTTTAAGGTTATCTACCATATTTCATCAAAGTTTAGACATGGTTTACAAGTGCGCCTTCTGCATATTGCGGAAGCCATCGCAATCCATGTTCACAAATCTAGCCTTTGCATTAAAAATAAATTTTTACAACCACTTTCGCTACCTTGGCCATCGGTATAAGAGTGCTTGTAGCAGAACTATTTTTCGTACTCATTCTATCTGGTTTTTTGTTGCTTTTTTGAACTTTGTAATTTTGTCAACATTCATCTCTTGATTCTTACATAACTACTATTCTATTGACCATCCATTAAAATATTCTGTTCGTTCTCTTTTTCATATATTATGCAACGGAGCAACTTCTTGATTTTCGAATAATTACTCTGAATATTATTAATCCTCTTTCTTCCAATTACTCAATTTATAATCGAAATGTCATTATGTAATTATAACGTAACGTAGACAACCTGTTTATGGAACACATTAAATCGAGTATTTTCGCGAATGAAATTGAACCACGAATTTTGCTTCGATATGTAGATAAAAAAGACTCACCTATTGTCTTTTTCGAAGCGTATCACTACATGTTCGTCGCTCACCAAATCTACGAACAAGAATGAAAATGAATGTGGTGAGCTACCAATTTTAAACTGCATAATGACAAGAAATTCAATTGAGATTCTAAATCATTTCATCTACTGAAAACCTTCACACTCAAATCGTTATATTGACTGCAATTCAGCACATCAGTTCAGTGCAAACATCTCCCTGACCCTAAATTTTTTTAGAAAAGCTATCAAGATCATCGCATCGGAAAAAGATTTAAAAAAAGAGCAAAAGAATGTAATTAGCACCTTACCATCTAGTAATTTTCCTATGAGTATTATTAAAGTGTATAATAACGCGATGGTTCATTGAGTAATAGTAATAATTCGAATGAAATACCGTGTATTGTTGCTGCAGTTTTACCACTCCGTCACTGTACAGCAGAAGAACTTCAAAATAATCTTTAAATAACACAATAAAAGTATATTACAAAACAACAAACACACTTCGGAACACTTTGGTTCGCTTGAAAGAAAAAATCCCCTCCATGACAATAGAAAACTGTGTCTAAAATTAGGTTGTGTCAATTGAGATGCCTTCCATATTGAAGAGTCATCCCGCGAAATCTTAACTCGAGCCAAAGAACATATTAGGTACTCAAAGAAATCACCTAATAATCACGTAGAAGTGGATAGACTTCAAATTAAATTGGCAATAGCGGTTGACGCCACTTTCAACAACCACAAAATCGACTTCAAAAACAAAATATTACAAGAATATTTTTCAGATTACAAAGAAAGGAGGGTAGCTGAAGCGTTCCACATAATACTTAATTCTACTGCTCTCAGTGGAAAAAATGCCTTACCATAAATACTTCTTGGACTATCTGTCCTATCCACCAATTCTGATATTATCCACAACTCTATCCTTTCTCGTCATAAAGATCACACATTTTTCATCGTTAACGGTGCACACATACACACGCAAATTTACATACATGTCGCTTACAACCCACCTTGATCGAAACGACATGACATTGATTTGTTCAGGCCTGTTTTTTGACTGATCACATAATATTATTGCGTTGTTCCTCTGTACTAATTCAACTTGGGTTAATTTTGATTTGATTGTTTATTCACTGAAGAAGTGACTTATACTGAGACACGAAACGTCCGGAAATTTAATTTTTCTACTCATTGGGATATTACAAATAAATTGATTTATTTATATATGTAACTTATTCATCACTTACCTCACTTGATTATTTTTTTAACAGATTTCATATCACTTCACACTTTCTATTGCCTTAACCTAACATTTGATCGGAGCTGTAATGACATTATTTCTCTTACTCAGTGTTACTCACATTTATTCTGATCTTTCATGACACATCCAATTCAACGCATAAACTTGTTCAAGTTGAGATAGGATATTCTTTAC